GGGCGGCGCTTTTAGCGGCGGCGGCTGCGCCTGATCAGCCGCGGGCGCGGCCGGCGACCCGTCGCGTCGGAACCTACGAGCGAGAGCGGCAGCAACGGTGCTCGGTGCTGCACTACCTGACGATGGCTTCTACCCCTCGACCGGCCGCCGCTTCTGTGGACGCCGGCAGTACGGTCACCGCCACAAGCGACGCCGTTTCTCCTTCGACGTCGTCGACGACACGCCCGGAAGGCGCGACGGCAGCGGCTCTGTTAGCGGCAATGCGGGAGCGGCCGTGGGAAGGCAGGCCCAACGCCGGTTCCGCTCAAGACTGGGCGGAGTGGCTGGAGCACCTGGCGCCGACCCTGGAGCGGCACCTCCGGTGGCTTGTGGTCGACGGGCTGGCGGCGCAGTTGGACGGGGCGGGCGAGAGGGAGGCGCGGTTCGTGGCCGTCGTGAAGGAGGACGAGGAGGCGGCGGTGGAACCCGGCGGGCCCGAGTCTGCCGCCCCCGGCGCGGGGGCAAGGGTGGCCGCCGCCGTGGCAACGGGGACGTCCGGCACAGCGGGGGCAGGAGCGTCGTCGATGCTGGCCGGAGGCGTGCGGATCATGAAGTCGAGGCCGATCAAGATGGTGAAGCCGTGGAGGTGACGGCGAGGCATGGGCGCGGGGGGGGGGGGGCATCCTCCTTTTTTCGGGAGGGTTGGGGGGGGGAAGGGAGGGATGCGGCGACGGGACCTATCTGCCGAGAGGAAGGATTGGTGGTCCCAAAAGTCCCAAAAATTGAATACTATACTGTGGTCATATATTGTGTCTTATTTTGTCTGTGGTGTGTTGAGACACGTGGTGTGCGTTTTTCAGAACTACTGCTTTTGCACGTGTGCGTGGTTCTTCTTCGATTCGCTTGCGTTTTTTTTTTTTTTCTGTTCCAGGGCTTTGGTTTGGCACGCGAGAGCACGCGGTGGGCGGGGCCGCCGCGACTTTCTTGACCGTTGTGCGCAGAGGCGTCATAGTGTTGCTTGATTGCTTCACCTCGAAGAGAACGCAAAATTTCGTCCACCATCCCACCCCCGCGTAGCCCTACCGTGTGTGTGTGTGTGGTTATTCTGACGTATAAACTCGTTCGTGTTGGCTTGTGAGTTTGATTGTTTTCAAAGTGCTCGGCTGGCGGGGAGTTTGTGAGAAGCCACGTGCTAGGACATCGTTGTACATGAGACGCAGTGAGATAGATTTTATATGTTGATGATTTCTGCACGAGGTACGATAAGCAGGTGATCGAATCGCAAGCTGGCTGGGAGTTTTTTTTTTTTTTCATGGAACGTCCACAGTGGTAGTATTTTGTGTCTTATCGTGGGATCTCCAGCAGCTCGATGATTAGTCGAGAGAGCGAACGGGGAGAGAAAGAGGACCAGAGAAATACGTCGGGTCCACGCGGAAGCAACGTAGGATGAGTGCACTTGGTGCGTGCGTGCGTCGTCGGTCGTTGTTCTCGCGTTTTTCTGATATTTACCCTGGGGGAAGTTTCCTGAGCATGTATTTCTCTTAGAGCGTTTTTATTATATGTCTGTTGGAGCACTGCCGTGATGGGGCTACAATGGATGTCGCGAGGCGAGCGCCACATCATCGCCGGAAAGGAACCCATCCAAACACAGCAACTGTACTAGCTTCGGGAGAACGACTAAACCTTGCAGGTTGAGCAAGTTCTGCACTACTACGACGGTACTCTCTGGGTGATCGACAGGATGCCCATCACGTGCTCTCCCGAGTCGCGCCGCCCTCACCACACAGTGAAGCGTGCGGATGCCCTTGGGAATGGTGCTGACGAGGTCACGAAAACACATCCAACCATTCCCGGCGGGGGGGGGCAACAAAATGGAGGTCCCGATTCGGGTTGAGAAGCACTTGATTGATTCTGACGTCCTACAGGACGTTCTTGCATGAAAACTTCAAAAGCGTGCTGTCACTATTCACAGGGGCGCTCCGACAGTAACGGCTTGTTTCTTCTGTCTTGAGTATGTATCCCAACAGCGACTATCTCTAGGTTCTGCTTTAAAGTAGATGTCAGGCTCTCAAATTCGTCTTTGAGTTGCTCTCCCCCCTGTCTCCCTCGCAGCGGGATTGTGGGGGGAAAGGGAAGCGGGCTTCATTTGAGCCAGTTGAGCCCGCGGGTTCCCGGGCTAGTTTTATTTGCAAGCAGCGCAACGAACCACCGTAGCATATACCGTTCGACCTGTAAATAACTTCTGTGCGAGGGTCCCAACCTCGGGTCTCTCGCTCAAACGCATTCAGCAAAAATTGTTCCTCTCAAGCTTGCGAAATGCCGGGGTCAAAGGAAGCCAGCCAAAGCGACAACACGATATACACACACACACGAGGAGGCTCCATCAATTGTGACGTGGTGACATATCTATGTCTCGTCACGAGTCGGCGTCTCCCGCAAGGTGTTTGATCCCGTCCGGCAACGCCTCGCCCTCCTCCCACAATACCGTTTCGCCTCTACTGATACTAGCTTCGCCAACAACGCCCTCCTCTGACTGGCCCCCGACACAACCACCATCGGAGGCCGGCTTGCCGTCTTCGTTTGCCGCCGCTCCAACGGCGGCAACAACACCACCACCACTGCTACTAGTATCTCGTTCTTCGAGAATGGTCAACATTCGGCCCAGCTTCGCCTCCAGGCGCGCTACTTGCGCGTTCAACGCTCCCAGCTGTGCCGACACGTCTCCCTCCTCCTGTCGGCCACCCGCAGCAGCAGCAGTGGTAGCGTTAGCGTTAGCAGCGTCGAAGGAGGGCGCTACGGAACGACCGCCGTGTTGTCCAGAGGCGGGCTCGACAGTCGGCTCCTCTGCTGTGAAGGGGCGACCGTCCCCTTCGTGCACGGCCTTTAGCCCTCTGTGGATGGATGCAAGAGGTACACGTGTACGAGGGTGGCGGCTCGTTGTGAGCTTGGGACGGGAGAAAACGCCCGGCAGCCGGTCGCCCTCTGCGCATCGCAATAGCAACGGTTACGGTGGCCTACCCCGGACGCATTTCCACGAAAGCTCGTGAGTGCGGGCCGACGCTGGAACAACCTTCAAATAGCCATTACTGCTGCTGTAAACTACAGCATTCTCATGGCAAGATAACGGGAAGCACAGCAGTCCCCGTGTCTACCGAAGAAGGACAAGCATGAGACACAAGCCGCGAAAGTTCGCGCGCCCGAAGACAAAGCGGTGCTCCTTTCGCACAGGTCAGCGTGTCGTTCCGTCGTCGTAAATCTCCGCGGCACCGCCATCGGTCCACACTCACGATCGGTAGTCTGGGAAGGTCAGCGACCGGCCACTCGCCGCCAGCAACGCACGCATTCTTTCGTTGTCCACCCGCTTGTTGCCCCCACCCCTACAAGGTCCAACAATCGTTTGAGCGGCAACGACGAATTTTGATTGGCGGAAGGAATGAACGCGTGAGGGAGCGCGTGGCTAATATTGCCCGGAGTGGCAGGAGTTGGGACACTTCGGTATTCGGTGTAGGAGGCTGCTTCTGCTGCTGCTGCTAAAACCAATGGAAAACCTGGCGGGAACAAGTCTCGACAAATTGCTATACAACTAAGCTCGGTCAAGCCTTCCTCAGTGTCAAGGGCTTCGCGCTGACTCTCTATCTGCCACAGAATTTCCATACCCTTTGACGGGACAACTTTGGGGGGAAATATTAGTATTCATACACATGCTGAGTACATACTTGTCCACAATACCTCATTCTCAAAGAGCCTCTAGGTTAATACACAGGGTGCTGGCGTAGGCAGGACACTCTAAACAGCGAGGACATTTCGAACGGGGACGTTCACCCAGACTCGCACCACACGCATGCATCCGAGGCAAGGAGTCTTGAAACGGCCGAAACAGCGGCACAGCACTCTGGTCCAGTTCTTCCCACGAAAACCTTAATAATCACACCCGCTGGCCGCACCTTCGATTGACGTACTTCTCCGCGGGATCTGGGTCTTGGCGAGGGAATCCTAACAACTTGCACCCGTACGCCAACGTCTGGGCAAGAAAAAGAAGAGCAAAGGTGAGGCATCCGACCAAATAATGTTCCGAAACGAGCAGACCGGTTAGAGGCGTTTGAGAGCGGGTCACTCGCGGCACCGAGGCTCCTTCCCTACACTGGACAATCAATCGCCAAACAGCCCTCTTTTGCTGTAGGTCTAGCTCCATGCAGAACAGAGTATCACGTAGCGGGAGCTCAGCGTGTCATACGCATACCATGCGACAAAAAATAGAGGCCAGTTTCTAAGTGCCCTCGGGTGTGGTACGTTGCTTCGACGGTCGTAGCCCGGCGTAACAGGTAACGCGTTCGAAAGGAGACGAGCGTCCACACTATGACGGTGAGCGGCCGCATCCCAAGAGGTCGTAGCACCGCAACAACGGGACACCTGCTCCCAAAAACCACAACGACAGGGCCACCACTCTGCAGGTACCCCCACACGCTCGAGGGCAAAGCACCTCCTCGCCTCGTATCTCGTAGACGGGAGATCGTCCGCGACGTTGAGCACCATGCCAGGTGCGGGCAGCTCGATCGAGGCCTCCACCACCCCAACAATGTCGGACACGTGCGTCCGAGAAACCATCGTCCCGTCGTCAGAGCCGGCCAGTCGAATGTCCCCGTTATGCCTGTGCAACGTGTTCAAGCAGGGCGTTCAATGTCTGTCTTGAGAGGGCAATAACGATTGAGGAGAGGGAAGCAGGTGTAATGTACTCGTCTGAGCGCTGGAACTTGCTCAAGCAGGGCGTTCAAATTTTCGAGAGGGCTACAACAACTACGGAAGAGGGAAGCAAGTGTACTGTACTGAGCAAGACACAGGTGGCTGTCAGGCGCAAGCTACATTAGCCGCGGCACACTTGTTCTACCAAGGAGGTTACACGACCGTGCAGAAGACGAACCGAACGTGAGCAGATACTCACAGCAAAAATTCTCAATCCGGGTGTCCACGGCGTGTTCTTGCATGAGCCAAGGCCGAACCTGCCAGCTCGCTTCACGGCCAACCAGCCGGCAAAAATCAAACCTCAATCTAACTCCACTAAATGCAAATCGAGCACACCAGCTGACGGGCACCCGACGCGTCAACAAACCTCGCGACGGCGTCCAGAGCGCTTCTGCCGGGACCGTAGATCCCGGCCAGGCGGAAGACATGCACGGGGAGACCGTCGCGCTCCTGCCGTAGCACAGCGAGCAGGGCGGGGGTCCGAGACGGTCAAACAGGCAGTGTGCAGGAAGAGCGGACGTTACACAAAAAATCCACTCAAAAACGAAGGCGACACAATCAACTGCTGTGTGTCCCTCAAATTTCCGGGTACGCTGCTTGCCGCTTGGATTATGTCCTCCCGACTTGCATCTAAGGGATGGATGTCTGGCCTTGGGAAGAAATCAAGCAGTCAACCGACAGGCCTCTCCTTCGGGGCACTGCGTCCATTCCAGTCCATCGCTGATGATGGGCTGCGAAACGATCGTGTGAGCTATGACAGTTGCTGCCAACGCCACTCGACTTCATAGCTGTCTTTCTGCCTCTCGCTCTGGCCTTCTGTGTTCACCCTTTGTCTGTTTACCCTCCCTCGTACACACTGTACCGTGCCTCTCGCTGCGAAATGTATGCACCCATTTCTCCCGCCCCTCGACACGATCACAAACTTCCTAGCCCTCTCTCTTTCTCTCACATGAAGCCGAAGCCAGGACCTCTCCGCCTTCAGCCTCGCCTTCGTCCTCGGCGCTGCAGGCCATGGCTCGTCCTCCTCGGTCACCCAACCCCCACCCCGATCCCCGTACACCCCTGGAACAAGGCCGCGAGAAGCGCGCGCCGGAACGTCATTGCACGACCACGCCTTACCCGTTGCCATGTAGCTGCTGTTGTAGCACAGGGTGGAAGGACTACAGGTGCTGTGGGTTGCGACATTGGAGGAGCTTAGGTTTTCAGCTACAGGGTTTTCGGAGGTGTGCCACCCAAGAAACCTACCCACCGGCAGGCTCTCTTTTTCCATTCTCAACCGGTGCGGTCATTACCCCCCAAGTCTGTCGTTGTTGCAAAGTCGTCACCGTCGGGGTCGCAACACCGGGTTCAAACGCACGAGCAGACGACTCAACTCCCTCGAACTGCATCTTCTCATTGTACCCCCCCTTTGCTGAGGGAGCTAAAGCAGAAGCAACTTCTGCAGGCCATCCCACCCTCTTCAGGTACTGTCCGACCTTCATGGAACTTGTTGTTGTTGTTGTTGTTGTTGTTTGTCTTCCGGTCTCCGCTCAGCACTGTAAAATATCCACTGGTCCAACTAACGCGGACGTCCGTGTTCACAAGCCAACCACCCCCCAAAGGGTACACCATTCTACATAATGGAAGGAAGTCGGAAGGAAAATAAACCAAATGGTACCCTTACCCGTGGAAGAGAGGTAGCCCACCCATCGAAGGTTACCCTTGCTACGGGCCCACTGCAGCTCCGCCTCATGCGCCACGAGGACGGGGTCTGCACCCGACCTGCTCAGAGTAAAACCAGGGCATACATGTCATTGACGCCGGTGAGGGCGCATCACAACGCAGCTGGTACCGACTCACTACTGTCGTAAAGCGCTTGCGAAGCCTCCCGCCATGGCTCGTACCAAAAAAGAAAAATCGTCGAGCCGGCGTGATACTTTTCAACAAACCAAGGCATCGGGCTCCACGATCCATACATATGAAGAAGAAGAGCAATGCGCGGCCTAACGTGTACCACAGAGCTAAGACGGGCTCACTGCAGGGCTGGTGGCACTGTGCTCAGGACACAGGTGGCGCTCGCGAGTACCGACAGAGGCTCCGGCTGCATCATCGGCCCGCTCCAGTCGTCAAAAATGAACGCCTGACGGACGCGTCCCGAAACACACCACGATAAGGCCAACGAAGAGAAGACTAGTCGATCTCAGACGTGGTCATTGGCCGACCCATTGTTGAGAATCGAACGACATCAGCACACGCGAAACGCATCTAGCAAATGACTTGTACGGTGCCGTTGCTACTCTCTAAGCACCGCTGAAGATGCCAACATATCTCGCCGCCGCGTGGCTCGATGCTCCTCTGCTGCCACCACGCAGAGCGCCGCAGGGAAGGAGCTCCATAGGCTGCAACACCGTAGTAGGTACACACGTTGGTGCGGGGTCTACGCTAGGCCGAGCAGAACAGCGGACACGCAACGACCAGTAACTCTCGCTGTGCAATCACAACAGCAGCTTGTATTGATGTCCATGGCAACATGCGTCAGCACAAGGAGTCGGACAGCATATTGCACCTTTATTCCCTGATCTCCCAGGGACTTGACCTTTCTCGGGTCGGTGCAAGTGCCGTGTACGGTCCAGCCCTTCCTCAGAAAGGTCAGGGCAACAGCCGTGGCGACGTATCCCACGCCGAAGATGAACAACGACTGACCGGCAGCAGCCTCGGGGTCTTCCGTGTCGGCCGAAGATAGCGGTGGGATGGCCTGGCGCCGTCGGCGTGCGTGGGCGTTCGCAGGCAAGCGCGTCGTTGTGTGAGACGCTGCTCGTGCCAGACGACGTCTGTTGTTCGAGCAACGCGTGGCAGCACTTCCTGCTGCTGGAGATGTTGCCCACGCCGTCTGCGCTGCGGACAGGCTTCGAGCACCAGGCGTTAGCGCGCTTATTCGAGGCTTCTTTCTTTCCTCGGGCCTAGACCAACGCATCCTACTGCCGTGGCCGCTGCTGGAACAAAACGTCGTCGCAGTTGCGCCGCTTGTTGCAGCACCAGGCGGAGATGCTGCCATCCTTCCGGCAATGAGCGAGGAACGACCCGCGTCCACGCCCTGCAACGACGCCCATAGAAGAAAAACGGACGACGTTGAAGACGGACGTCGCATCCTAACGTCACGGTGTGATCGTTTGTGACACCGTTGCGCTAACACACTGCAATGCACTGCTCTGTGTGGCCAAGTACACATGATGTGTGGCCAGCTTCGAGGACGCACGAACCCACAATAGCGCATACCCGCGAACTATGAAAGCGCTTTCCGCCGAGACCCCGATTGCGCCGCCTTGCGCCGCCGCCGCCGATCATGTCGACCTACACACCTCGCACCTGGCACACCAACGAGCCTGTCATGTGTATATAGCGTCTTAACAAAGCATGTGGCTCTATGGTAGGTGATTGTTCAGGAGAGTTGTATCGAAAACACAGAGTGTAAAGCATCATCGGCACCCACACTGCCGTCTGGAAGTAGCTGTTGCAGTATTACAGCAGCATACAACATTGCCACCCTCGGCATGGATCAGCCGTCCCAGGAACACCCCGGTGCTCTGCGCGAGGACGGCCACGCATCTGCGGAACGCGAGGCACGCATTCTAACGTGGAATATCAATGGGCTGAGGAAGGTGGCCGCGAGTCACGGAGGGGTGCAGCAGCTGTTGGACCAGTTCAACGCGGACATCGGTAAGCCGCAGACCTTCGCCGTAGCCGCGGGCCTACACAGCAGTCGCTGTACGTGGTTGCTGGGTCTTCAGCCTGCCCCCCACCGTTCGGTTGCTATTTTGTATATTTGCCACAGCAACCTAAACCCACCTGCTAACACGCTCTAAGCAAAAATCCGTTTACACTACTTGTCTCGTTTTACTCGTTTTACGCTGTTTGTTTTCCCTTGCGGCGCGAATTGTCGCTGGCTCTCCTGCCGGTTCCCGCCAAAACCCGACTTCAACCAACCAACGGACAGTTTGCTTCCAAGAGATCAAGATTACGAGGGCCGGTCTAGGTGAGATTGATCATCCACGATTCTGCCTACCACGATAGTGACGCCAGGCCGTGCCTCTTGGCGGTGGCCTCGCCTCCGAGTCTGGATGTCTACTACTGCTATAGCCTCCAGGTTTGTGTAGGTATCGGGACACCAGTCCTCCGGGTGTTGGCAGGTCTCCACAGGTCAAGTGTCGTGGATGCCTGCCGGGTACCGGAAAAGGTGGAGCGTGTTTAACTCCTCCACTGGAGGGTTATTTTCGATGTGCTCAAGGCACACTCATTTGTCTTTCACCATATTTCGGCGATGTCTACCGCGCAGTTTGGTTGTGAACGCATGATCGCCGTCACCGACAGCCTCCCACAAAAACACAGCACGATCTTCCCGCCTCGAGTCAGCAGTGCGGCGCAACTTCACCGGGTCGTGATCTGTCTCGCTGTGCCCCCGCCTGCCACCCGCAGTTGAGCACGAGTTGGCGCGGGCGCAGGGTTACCACGGCTTCTTCAACCACTGCAAGCTGCCCCGAAAGGTGTCATACTCCGGCGTTGCGACCTTCGTCCGATCGGAGTCCGGGCTGAAGACCTTGGCGTCGACGACGTCGCTCGGAGACTCGGCGTTTTTCGGCTCTCCCGGGAGCTTTGTCGGGGAGCGAAGGCTAAGCCCGGACAGACTAGCGGCGCTGGATTCTGAGGGGCGGGTGCTGGTGACGGACCATGGGCACTTCGTGCTCTTCAATGTGTACGCTCCGTGCGTCAGGTGGGGTCGGTCCCACTCTCTGGTACAGCAGTAGTGGGACCCTGCATAGTGCCGGTATATTTTACCGCCATTTTTCTGGACACCGGGACTATTAAAAAAACATACATAATGACTTGGTAGTTCAGTGTGTGCGAGCCGAAAACACGGGCACTATTCGACCGTCACTATAAAGGCCCCACTACGTGCTGTATATTCTTTTGAGTTTTGTTCTCTCTCGTCCTTCACGAAAGCGCCTCGCATGACCGAGATGCTTCTGAATCTCGCTTCGGAGCAGAGCCCCTCATGTTTGACACGTTGTTTTTACGGCACGATGTATTGGCCCTCTTGAAACCAGGAGGGCCACCATACTCCAGGCAGTCTTCCCCTCTTGTCTCGTGCTCGTTTCACAGCCCCAAGGCCCCCCGTCTTGGTGGTTTTACCGGTGCAGCTCCAGCTCCGACGACGAGAAGGAGAAGACGGAAGATCGCCGGGCCTTTAAGCGAGATTTCTTGGCCACGCTGGAAGCGCGCATCTTCGAGATCCGAAGCCGTGGGCGAGGAGTCGTGCTGGTGAGGTTGGTCTCCCTCCTAACGACCCCCACGTGCAGCAGTTTAGGTGTACCGATGGCCCACTCTTGGCAGTTTTGGTTACACATATGCACAACGCTACATAGCTTCTGCGAGCCGAGCGCTTTGAAAAACTTCATTCCATTCGTTCCATCCCGTCGCCGACTGTAGCGCAGCGATTGTGGACACTCTACCCGCCGCAAATTTGCGAGGTTGGCATTCTGCCACATGACCACTCGGAACGTGCCTGCCATCAGCGCACGTTTGAGCCTCTTTTCGGACACGTCGCAATTTTTTGTGCCTTCGGCCGCGGTTGTTCCTGCTCCGCACTCATTTTTGTTTATGTCGTTGACCTTAAGGTGGGCGATTTGAACGCCTGCGCTAGTCAGCTGGACCACGGCTTCACCATGACGGATTCCGAGTTCTACGCCTCCAACTGGTCCAAGTGGATCCGGGGGATGCTGGGGTTGGGCTCGCCGGAGCCGCCGAGGTTGGTAGCGCCCCAAAATGCATTGGTTTTGATTTTGGCTTGCCTTGGTCTTGCCCGCTCTCCACAAGGTGGCCTCTCGTTTTGCTATCTGCTGGTGAAGAAGTAAGTAAGGCCTTCTTTTGTCTTACTACGGGCGGGGGAACCAACGGCTGCGGTCTCCGTGTTTGGTCGACGGCTGGCGTCTCGACTTTCGCGAAGTAGGGGGACGGTTTGAGGGTTGATCTTCCAAAAGATCTTTGCCGAGGGGGAATGGATGTTCTTGTTGTGTGTATGGCATGTGTTACTTGTTGTTGCTCTTCTTTGCGCTCAAGCATTTTCCTGTTGTAATCTTGTCGGTTGACGTGCTTCGTGCCTTTCGATGGCGCATGCATCCCGACCCTGACTCAAATATTTTTTGGATGCTTCGACGCGCGTAGTTTTTCGGCACACAAAGCTGTTGTTGTCGGTGTCTTCTACAAGTATACTACTGCTTGCCGTGGGTATCAGCTGATTCCACCCCCCCTAATCGCGTTTTGGTCCAAAATCATATACGCTGTGCTAAGGCTAGTGGACTGCTTCCGGCATCTTCACCCGGACCGCAAGAGCGCCTTCACATGTTGGAACACCCAGACAGGGGCGCGTGACAACAACTATGGCACGCGCATTGACTACATCATCGCGGGGACGGACTTCGCAGACCGAGCTCTCCGGGCATGCGACATCATGCCGGACTTTCTGGGATCGGATCACTGCCCCGTGCGCGCGAGGTTCGCGTTCCCTTTGGCGGCGGGGTTGGCGGCGGATGCCCCGGGCGAGAGCGAAGGCGACGAAATCGCAAGAAGCCGGTCTGCGAGCGAATGGCCGGAGCACCCGCCCGAGTGCTCCTGCTTTTACCCAGAGCTGACGGCGAAGCAGGAGAAGCTCGCCAAGTATTTCGTGGCCGGCGGCCAGAATGAAGAGTCTGCCGTGGGTACCGAAGGGAAGGGGGCTGATGGCAGGTTGGTAAGAGACGGGAACGGCGCCAGGGAGAGCGGCGCTACGCGGCCTGCCGCGGGCGGCGGAAAGGGCGTGGCCGCGTTCATGAGGGCTTTGCCGGGTGCAGGCGTAACGGGGAAAGACGGTGCCAGTGTTGCTGGAAGTTTGATGATGCGCGGGAAGAAAGTAGGGTCTGTGGGCCGTACATCGAGCACTAGCAGCAGCGGCGGCGGTAGCTTGACGGCACGGCGGCCTGGCTCCGGTGGGTCTCGTCAGAGCAAGCTTGCGTTCGGGCCCGCGGCAAATGGTAATGTTTCGACCTCCGCGGGCGCCACCAGTCGGGAAGCGACTGCGGGCGGCAATGGCGCGGGGTCGGGGACTAGTAGAAGAGCTGAAGGCACCGTGCCTTTACGCACGTGCAACCAGCGAGGTGGTGGTGGTGGTGGTGGTGGTGGTGCACAGACCTCTCAGGCGATTCAACCACCCCGTTCGAGGGTTCACGCATCGGGTGGGGGGCACGACACAGCAGGGGCCGGTGGGGGGTCAGGCAGCGTTAGCACGATTGGTAGTTGCAGACTAAGCAACCCTGGCGGTGAAGGCGGGGTCGAAACAGGGCCAGGCGAGGGGCCGAACGGGGGTGGTGGTAGTCGGGACAGCGCGGAGGCGTGGAAGGCCATTTTCGGACGGAAGAAGAGCGCACCGACCTGCGAGCACGGGGAGCCGTCCATCCAGCGGACCGTTCTTAAGCCCGGTCCAAACCACAACAGGAGGTTCTACACTTGCGCTCGTTCGGCGGGTAACTGGCCGACGGACCGAAACGCTCGTTGCACTTTTTTTCAGTGGCGAAGGGACGGGGTTAGGGGTTACAAGGACAAACCTCCCCGCGCTGAGGGCGGTACGAATAGTAATAAAAAACGACGCACGTGAAGAACCGACCTGCTGTCTATGCATACCGTTGAAGGTAGGATTTTGACTCGCGAACGTTTTGCTTCGTTCCTGCTGCTGACCTGAATCCCTTCTGGGTGTCCACACTCTGTTCTACATACGAGTGCTTCGATGCGCCATTTCGAACGAAAGGGGGCGCGTAAAAAGGCAAAGAAAACAAGAAACATGCCGAACACACAGCTTTGTACTGAGCTGAGAGTTGAACGATGTTTTTGCGCTATTGGTTGCTCTTGTTGTGTTGAGTGTATCATAGTGGTCGCACGACACTGATGCAGGTAGTCTACAGTAGTTTACTACGCCTTTACAGCCGCCGGGGATCGGATCAATTTGGCCATCTTCCCGCTTGACCCCTCAGAGGAGCGTTGCGCGCTATGACTCCGAACTCCGGCGCAAGATGCGGCGCAACTACAACGTTGCTTCCTGCTTGATCATCCCAGACACCGCCGGCCGCGCATCACATCTCAGCTTCGAGTACCACAACAGTGGAAATGCATCCAGGTTTTGTGCTCCACCTCGCCGCCCTCCCTGGAATAGCCCACGCCTTCGTCGGGGGATGGGCTTCTTTCGTGGTCGGTGCTGACCAACATCGACAACAGCAGCATCGATGTGCTGTTGGTGAGCCCTTCGCTCGAGCGGGTAGCAGTAGCAGGTTTGCTGGCTCCACGAGACGGCCCCCTGCTGTTGCGGCGCCTGGAGCAGCACGTAGGAGGCAGCAGCTCCGGCTTATGCCCAACGAGTACGAAGCGTTTTTCAACAAGGCGTCCAGGTTAGGGGCGGACGCGACGAGAGACCTCGCACCCGAGGAGCGCGCGCAGAGAGCTATGGAGGCAAGTTGACGCGCTGCTGTCATGTGCACAATAGTGTACATCAGTGTACATGACAAAGGTGCAACCAGCCCCCACCTCTCTGCGCTGCTGATGACCTTCTTTCCTGAGCAGATTAGTGCATACCTTGAGAGAAAAGCCTTGTCTGGGGCATGTGTGGTAGAATGGTTGAGGCAAAACGGTATGTCGCGCTGTTGCACATGATGACACAACATGCTCCGTGCGTCGCGCCGATATTTTGAGGAAAGGTTGGCACCACGTGCATACTGCTGTCTCAGTAGGTAAGTTGTTACAGCAGTAACTACATACAGCAGTAGCAGCAGTTACCCAGCGACATGTAGGCAAAAGTATCCTGAGCTTCCTGCGCCAGACAAGAGCTGTAGCTTTCAAAAAGGCCAGCGCTGGCACGCACAGATATTCCCACGGAACTTCCGCTGCAGATGGTACGCGCAGGTAGAAAAATATTTCAAACCGCTGTGCACTGCTTGTGTGCTGACGAACGCTGCTGCTGTGGTTGCTTGCTGGTGCTGAAGGGGGAGAAGCTAGAAGACGAAATCATTGAGATCGCGACCGTGTTGCGAGAGAAAGCGGACGAAATGGTGGCCGAAACGGGCGCCATTAACTTCGAGATCATCCAGCCGATGATCGACGAGATCGCCGTCCTGAAAAGCAAGTACAAGTGAGTGCCGAACACTATTAATACACACAAGAGACAAGTCTTTCTGTGAGGTTTTGTTTACTTTCTAAAAAAAGAAAAAGGCAACCAGAAACGTGTGCAACCGGAGATGTTCGCGCAGTCACAGGGCAGAAAAGGGAGATGCCGCGCAGGACGTATTTGGGAACTGTAGATATCGTTGCTTACACGTTCCACGTGGGGCTTCTCGTGCTGCTACTGCGGCTGACGCTGTCAGTCCTTCTGCTCTCGTCTGTTTTTTTCTTCGTTGTTCTTGTCTATTGTAGTTTCAATTTTGCGTTCAAGTGATTTGAACCTCAGTTTTCAGCCGTCTTTGCATACCACACCTCGAAACATCACACCAAATTCGACGATTCGACACAATCCCTGGTGGGGACCCATTAGCACTCATCGCTCGGCGAGCTCGGATGCACGCACACGCTGCTCCACGCTCTCGCGCATGTTTCAACCCCGACTGGTTCTCTCTACGGAACACTTCAGGGTGGTGATGGGGGCAACTGAGACCGCGGACGGAGACGGAGCTCCGGATGCCGATGATGGAGAGGATGCCAGCTCTTGTTGACCTAGACCACTCCTGCTAGACGCCCATTGTTTCCTCTACGCTGCTAGGGCCGGAGGAAAGCCGTGCCCGTGGCGGGTGGCTCCCTCGCTTGAAGCATTTGGAGAGGGATGGCGGGGGTTGCCGAGGGGGGAGGTGGTAACCCCACCCGCTTGGACTCGCTAGGGCCGGGTTTCAGCTTGTTTGCTCTGATCGGACTGTCGTTTTGCGCCCTCTCTTGGAGCCTTCGTGCAGTCGTCCGAAGGTTACATAGGATGTGGGGTGGCCGGTTTGCGGTCTTGTTCGCGTGGTACTCGCTTACTATATGTATTCCTTTCACTCGGGAGCTATAATAGTTTTGTCGTTTCATCTTGTTCTACTGTAGTGTTTTCGTTTCGAGAGTGTTCATCTGGAGTGTGCAAGGAGTAGTATTGAATAGATATTATATCTCACTGCTGCTGCATCGCAATCAAACCGTCTTGGGCCGCTCCTGGCTTGACTGGCTTCGGCATAAGATGCGCAATAGAAATGACCCACGTGTTAGACCATACCTTCCGTGTGGGAAATGCTTACATTTCGCACCTAGATCTAGCTGGACAGGATACGATGGACTCCGTCACAAGCACCGCACGGGAAGCAGTTGATGATTGTGCGAAACTGCCGCAGGGCTGAAGGTGCTTTGTCGCACTCGGATTCTCCTTGTCCATGCTGGGACCTTTCAGAATGGGGACACAACCATGCGTATGAGTGCCGAACACCTTGAATGTTATCCGTGTAGCGGTCGGTGCCACCCTACACTGGTGTAGTAGTGTTACCGTTAGAATGTTTTGTGCTTGCTGCCCCGCTTTTGGAAGCGGTTGTGTGTTTCGACAGAGCAGCTCGGTCGTGGAGGCGACTGCAGCGTGGTGTTGATTTGTGTCACGAGACCGTCGTGTTTGGCTTGTTGGCCCTTGAAATATCCCCGTTTGATTGTAAAATGCAAGAAGCAATTTAGTAACCGGTAAAATGATGAGAGGTCTCTTGTTTTTGTTATGAGTGTTAAAGAAGCGAGAACCACGAAGGGCACGTGTCACTCCATCATGGTACGGACATTGCTTCGGTGCCGGGTGTAGGGCGTGTGCATCTCGAGACGATCGAACCCAGGCATTCCCGACGTCGCGCGCAGCATGCCGACAAGTGAGCATGGAGCTGGTAGTGTCACGACAAAGTCAGTTGTTGGGAAAATAATCAAACCTTCAGATCAAAAAGAGGTCTTGTCTGGTATCTTAGCCACGACTGCAGCGCCTCTTTTTGTTCTTGATATTTTTCGATGGTGTGATACGCGACGAACTTCACAGCGAAAACGGAGCAATCTCAGTGGTGCCACCACCGCACGTCGCATCAGAGGAGATGGGTCCTTGCACGCAGACAACCGTCGCGCCGGCCCTCCGTTCGGCCGGAACAGCTGCAACAAGCGCCGAAAGCATAACCCCCGATCGTGAGCTTTCCACGCACACCCGCGTGCTGCAAGACTTGACGGGCGTTTTTAAAACTCAACCGTATATCATGTATTATTGTCGTCGCCATGTACCCGTGAGAGGAGATCATGTGAGATCGATTAGCTTTATTGGACACGATTTCATCAATTTACAGCGAAGCCCCCCCCTGTGAAGCGTTTTACCGCGGAGGCGTGTGCTTGCGCCTGCATCTCCGCCGGGTTGTTGTTCATCGCCCGCTGCTCGTCCTGCATCTCCCTCAACATCTAGAGAAAAGTGACACATCACGCCGAAGGAGATAGGGGGGGCAGATAGATCGGTTTCAAGAAATGAAAACGATGTGCGAGGGCACAGAGTTAGGACGGGGGCAAGCGGGAGCGACGAAACAAAAGTAGATCATCAAGGCAGGCACACAAACGCCACAGAGATTATGGTGTAGTCAACCCGGTTCCTGCTCCACCTGCACGATATCACCACCAGGCCCTTTCGCAATGTCAATGCGTTGTATGGGTGTTGCGCTCGAGACGATAACTGTGGAACACGAGGAAATAGTTCAAAGAATCGTAGGATACGACACGTTTTCCCAGGCACACGTGTGAAACTAACATGACGAGCCGTTGCTCTTTCAAACGTTACTAAACAGCCACGCATCACGCTTTGATGGACCGCTGGCACGCACCTGCTCCCGGCGCTTGTGTTCGTAGTGCTTGCGCTTGGCGTCTTGCAGCTCGCGGGTGATTCGCTCCATCTCGTACTTGTACTCGTTCACCTGCACACCGCCGTCGGAAAAAAGTGAGGAGGTCGGAGAGAAAGAGTTCGCAGCGTAGGCAAGGGCGTAGCAAGAGTATTCCGTCCACGATAACTTGTGGAGAGGGAAAGGTCCAAAATTGTCTTGAAATAACCTAGGGACGAAATAGTTATGGAGGGTAACATAGGATGGGTGGCGGTGGATCTTCTCGAAAATTGCTTGGGAGTAGTGTGTCGAGCGTGGGGTTGACGTCTAGTGACCTCGATACGATCACGACAGACTGTGGGATTGTGACAGAGGGAGGACCATTCTCCTCCGTTCGGAAGCTACCGTCGTCCCTTCACGGCCACTGATCTAATGACGCGCTGGTCTCGCGAACATCGTGCCGCTCTGCAAATTCTTGCCACACGCATGTATGGGCGTTCCCTCTCTTCCTCGGAGGAGGTGGTCCTTGCCCTACATCCTCTGAAATGTGTCTTCTTCTGGCCCCTCCTTTGTGACCGTGCACAGGGCCGAAGCTGCATCACTTGTGTCTTTCACGGCCCAACCTCTGACTGGTTGGTTCGAGATCAACGCGCGAGGGGATAGCAGAGATTCTGTCCGATCCCAGCAAGCACAGCCGTTCGTCGATCCACTTCCAGGTTGTTCTTGGTCTTATTCGAAGGGCAAAGAAGGAGGCATCTTTTAGTTGTTTCACGAGGAGAGAAAAGCAATGGTGGTAGACTCGAGGCTACCTAACCGACCCCACCTGTGCCTGGTACATGTTGAGCTCCGAGGCCATCGCTTTCATCTGCCTCGTCTTCTCCTTGAGGCTGGCCTGATACACCGACAGCTGCTCCGCGACCTCGGGCCCGGGCTATTGTGTATCGGAGACCAGTTCGTTTTTGCGGGAAAATTAGGCATGATTCGGGGTTTGCTTGATCTTGTGAGGTGTGGCGACGCAAACTATCTGGCTGCTGAAACCTTCAACAAGTTGGGTGAAAAAGCTGCTACACGGGGCCCGTTTTCCTCACTGAGATAAAACCTACAACCACTCGCCAAGAGAAAAAGGGGATAAGAAAAGCAAGCGAGCAAGCAAGGCATAGAGCGCCTGAATGCCGGCGATCGCCCCCCCCGTAGAAGTACGAAAACGGTGCTGCTGAGTCTTGAACGGGTTTGACTCCATTCCCTTTCCTGGGATCATTGGTGAGGAGCCGTACCATACACACAAATGTTCCGGCACAGTCGCACCAACACCATGGTGTAAATATCACCATACGCATTGGTCACGCCGGCTTTTGCCGAGGGCTCGACTGCCCTGCAGCGCGTCAGCAAATAGATGAATAGTGTGCGCAGAACGACCAAATAGCGATAAGCGATCGCCTTGCCTTCATTCCTACACCAGCATTGTACCTGTCCCGCAGTAAGACCCGGGAAACGGGGGAGAACCCCGACGATGCACGCGTAGTAAATGCGTAGACGATATCGTAACCACAGCCATGATCATGAACCGCAACGCTATCAGATTTCCGTCGACTGCTTCTTTGACGGTGTTCCCAGCACCCTCTCCCCTTGACGGTGTTCACAGTGTGCTCTTGACACATCAGAACGGATGGCAAGAGATGTCTACCACCCTCGGTCAAACCAACCAGCAAATAGCTATAGCTATCTTTGGTAAAGTCACGTGGTACTTGACGACGGACGCAGACATCCTGTGAATCACCTGTCGTGCGAGGATGTCCTTCATCTCCTTGTACAACTTCTCCTTCTCCTGCAGCAACAAATCTCTTTCCACCACCTTCAGGGAAAATACGGGGGAGGGGGGGAGGGGGCGTACTCTTATGTTTTGCATGCCTTAGCGGTTAGACCATTGACCACGTGTCCTCGAGAGGACGGAGCATTGTTCCCACAGGGCCCATCACCGATGGCCAATCGTTCCTTCCTACTTTGCCAAAGGTGGCTCAAAAATGTCTTCCCTAGTCTGTCTATCCTAACGGGGGGGGGGGGGGCATCATAGTGATACAAGACCGTATACTTGAGGCCGTACATCTTGAGCCAAAGCGAAAAGGCTCGGCGGCTTATTCACCCTCTGCTCCACCATGTGACCAAAGCGACCTGGTGAAAATCTCTCCGCACCGTCATATGACCAGGCATCATGCCAAGCGCGAACCTCGCGGGGAGGTGCCCAACGAGCCAGGCGCTGAAGAGGTACTCGTATGTTGTTACACTAAAGTCGTATGCGCAAGGACCACGAATATCCCCTTTCAAAAACAAAGGATAGCAGAAACATGGCCAACGGTCCACAGCTCTTGTACGTTTCGTCTGTTTCGTTCACAACAGTATCTTGCATATCTTGCGCATCTCATGTACCTTGTCCCTTCTGTGGCGTTTGTTGCCAGAAGGAGGGGGGTCGGGACATGCGAATTCGTCGGTCTTCCGTAGCAAATGAGACGTAATACAATACGAGAAGTTGGTTGAAGCAAACGGGGGAAATGGAACGCCCCAACAAAGTTGTTGGTGTTAGCCCATGTCCATCTGCGACGATGGTGCGCAGGCGGTGGGGTTCTGTGTGCACAACGAAGGCACAACGGTTGGCTGTGAGCACGTGGGGTGTGATATCCATGTCGTTTGTTTGAAGCACGGCGCCCTTTTCAAATGTACGTCTATTACACCAACACTACAATAAACGTAAACGTACTTGCTTCGTCAAGGCAACAAGCGTTAAACGGCGATCTTTAATCACCACGCGGGGTTACCTCTTCCGTCTTGGAGATGAGGCGTTTCTGTAGCGTGTGAATCTTTTGGATCATCTCGAACGTCGTCGGGTCGCTCCCCTCGAGCTTCCGCCAGCGGTGCACGTTCATGGGGTTCTCCAGCTCCTCGCTCAATGCCTTTACCTTGGCTTTCTCCTGCGAATCGTGCGAAACGTTTGTGTTGCTCCTGGTTTCATGTTGTAGATGATGCATGCCCCCCCCTTGCCTTCAGCGGAAGGCTCGCGGACGCGCGGAGAGGGTGGCGTGGGGGTGCTACTCACTGCCCTACATCCGAAAGGCCCTCACATCGGAACTTGACCGACTAGGTTGTCGATGGGGGTGAAGTACTCATGACCGTACATGCTGTAGTCGTTCGGCCATGGACATCCCGCGAGAGGCAGACGAGGGGGGAGGGGGTGCGGCAAAGAGCTATATTCCGTCACATATTGTTCGCACCCAGACGACCGAACGTGAAACTATGGACGGAAATTCGTCGTGGCAGATGCAGTCGTAACGGCGGGTTGTCGACGGGCGAGGTAGCAGTACCTGCAGCAGATCCCTCTGCAGCTGAAAGACCTCCCTACGCAACTCCTCCATCTGGTTGCTCGAGCCGCGAGCTATGGCGAGGTCCCGCATCAGGTCCCCGCACTTGAGCTTTAGAGTGCGAATGTCCATCAAACGCATGCTGTAGCCTGCCTCGCCCTGTGAACGTCGACAATTGTTGGCAGGAAGAGAGAGGGGGGGGGGGGGGAGGGGAGAGGGACAAAGGGACAAAGAGAGATGACACATGCATGAAAAGTCAGTCAACGTGGCAGGGGCGGCTACACTATGCACTGGCGTACATTTACTAATAGCACTACTTTCTACCTTTACCGATTGCTGCTGGCTGCATTTCGTTGAACGAGAGAAGGGCTGAAGGGCCGGATAGACCTGGACAAAACGATGACGGCGAGAAACGACTGGCAGATGGGGAAACTCTGCGTGGTTCCTTCAGGACGGGTACTTTTTCGGAGTATGTATCGCGCACCAGCAGGTGTGTACGCGATGCACACATGTTGGTAACCCAAAGGAGAAGTATTGCACACTACATACGTGTTTCCTTATAACAGGGCGATTTTCTGACGAGCAAAACGAGAACACCGGCTCGGCAAGAGGAAATAAGATAGAGTCTGAAACGAAATGGCTGCGGTCGCAGGTCACAAGCCCATATTACCCCGACCCGACGCCTCTCCGAACGTTTCGCTGGTCGGTGCGGCCCACCTTCTTTAGGGTGCTCTGCTGAATCTTGAGCTTCTCGTAGAGGAGGGCCAGCTCGTCGTTGCGGCGAATGAGCTGCGTTCCCAGAATGTCCCGTTCGTTTATGACCTTGTGTGTATTTTGTCGCGTTGTTGACAACAAGGATCAAGAGAACAGAGCCCGCCGCGTGTTGTGAGAGGACGTCGAAACTGGGTGGTTGTTGTTCGTCGTTGTTGGCGTTGTTAGTCATCGCACCGAATAGGAACAAGGCGGTGGTTGTCCTCTCCGATCCGACGCATTACTAGAACGTACCTGGTACTGGGGGCCCGGTGTGCGCTGAGATTTTGTCCCATGTGGTATACAGTTAGGTCCCGCACTCAGGAACTTGGCAGCTATGAAATTGTCTCGAAAAGCCCAAAATCTGAGAACTTGCGCACTATTTGTGCGCCCGGTTAAGAACCTCTAGAACCTCTAGACTAAAAACCTCTATAGCGACCATTTGTAGCGTAACCCTACAGCATAGTGACTATGTAAGAGCCCCAGCCTCGGCCAAAACTAGCGGTTCTCAAGTGCCGGCGCTAACTGCACATACGGATATCTCTCGTGTTTGCAACACAGGATGTTGGCCTTCTGTTGGTGTGGCCTTCAACGTGGTGTTGGCGTTTCTTTCGTCAGAAACTGTACATACGGATATCTCTCGTGTTTGCAACACAGGATGTTGGCCTTCTGTTGGTGTGGCCTTCAACGTGGTGATGGCGTTTCTTTCGTCAGAAACTGTACATACGGATATCTCTCGTGTATGCAACACAGGATGTTGGCCTTCTGTTGGTGTGGCCTTCAACGTGGTGTTGGCGTTTCTTTCGTCAGAAAATGAACGAAGCACCACAGAAGGACCACTCGTTCGAGCTAGCTTCCAGCGAGACGTGTTGAAACATTCACGGTGAAAATTATTGATCGGCACGTGCCGGATACTCTGGGCTTACGAGGTGCGTCCAACCAAAAGTCTTTGCAACAAGGACTGTATGATGCCAGATAAAAAAAAGGCTTCTTTGTGTTGTAGTCAAGCCGGTTCTGCTGAGTCAGGCTCGCTCACCTGATCATACTCTTTCCTTTGCTTGAGCGCATCCTCGTCCATTTTGCTCAACATCCCCGCTAGCCGCCGCACTTCGGCATCCTAGAAAAAAGTCGGTTATGCTGAACGCTTTCAGTTGTCTGCGAGTACTCGATTCGATCTGAGTTCAACGCACACACAAGACAATCAGTCACATTATGTGACCGAGTACACACCGAAGTTTTTGCCGGTCTCACCATAGCAAATGGACATCATTGCCTGACAGAGTGTGTAGAGAGTAGAGTAGTATTGAGCGTTGTTGTAGAGATCCTCTTCATTGAGGGGATAACCTCTCCAACGTCTGTCTAGGACGATTCCTTCTGTTCACATTGTTCTTGTGCTATAGTATCGCGCCTCCATTGCACCCGCGCACGGCCTTGTCCATTCCACGTATTTGACGCACGCGAGGAACTGTTTAACCGGCGCCCAAGCAACCCTAGAGCACCGACATCGTGACTCTAAACAAGACACACGCGAGAGGAGAACATCCGCAGAGAAATGCAAGGAACGAACGGCGGAAAAAACTCTGTAGTTTTGGTTTACCTGCTTGTGCACGACGGTATCATTGTTCTCCAGGAGGCGCTTCATGCGGTCGATCTCGTTGCGCATCTGCTCCCTTTGCGTCTCGGCCTTCTGGTGGTCGAAATGCTCTTTCACCAAGGCGTGGTCCTGCAGTACAGCACGTGTTCACGTGACACGTCATTTAGCGTCGGCCCCCTTTCGGGTGAAAAAGTGAAGGAAGGGAGGCGTGGTCTACGATAGCTGCCGGCGGTTGTTGTTGTTCCGCTGTGTTGCTGCGAATCGCACCCCGGTCGTGAAACGCAAGACCGCTGAGCGGGTAGAAACCGCGAACGACGATTCAAGAATGGGGCGCCCAAAAACCAATGTTGCGTTTTCTCCACTTGGACGAAACACGACTAACTCGGGCAAGGAGAAGCGAAGTGGATTGCTGCTGCGGCGGGACTTGCTGGCTTGCCCCCATGTCTAACCGTACCTAAATTAAGTTTGCACGAGAAGGCACTCACCTTGGCGGTGATGTCTTCCTTAAGCTGCTCTATCTGGTGGTTCATGATCTTGAGCTTGCGCTTCATCTCCGCAATCTCATCCTGCGCCTCGATGAGGTTCTTACTGTACAGGTTGCGGTCGCTCCTCACGCTCTCGTAGAGCTGCTGCTGCTGCTTCAGCTTCACCTCCCAGTCGCTGATCTTGTTGCCGAGCTCGTTGATGCGCATCTGACGGAGCTGCTCCCGAGTTTGTTTGTGTTTACGGAGGAAGACACATAGAGTGGTTGATGCAAGCAGCGAGGACAACCAGTTGTTCGCGCAATAGAGCAAGCTTGCGGGCTAACCTCTGTCGGTCGTGTACGGTGCCTTCGTGAACGTGTTAACCTGCTTCGACTGTGGGGCCGCTCGAAAACGACTCCTGCCTTACAGCATGGCATCTTGAAGAAGATACCGTACGGTGCGATAAAACCGGTGTATTCACAATTTATTTTCGTTCTCGTCCTGTTTGTTATCCGTCGTGCGAGGTTCCGTTCGGTCTCGTCTTTCTGTGTTTAGAGTTCCGAACTATTTCGTTTAAAGTACTATTGCAATATCGAGGAAGGGTCAAGCGGAGGGGGGGGGGTGTTGATCATAGTCACAATTAAATGGTTTGTCGTACACAACGGGTAGGAAACACCATCTCCTTCAACTCGGTTCGACGAGCCGGATGATGCTCTGGATAGAGTTCAGAGCGTTACTTGGCGTGAAGACAACAGCAACGACAGCAAGAACAACGTGGAAAAAGAAATTTCACGAGCATCTTGAATACGTCTGGCTTCTCCTCGAAGGTGGGTTGGCGATCTTCCTTGACAGTCAGAATCTAGCCTGTCGACGGCTACGAATGTAGAGCGACTTAACTACAGTAATTCTGACCAGTCCTCGAAAATTCACGGATATTGCCGTATCTCAAAGAATAATGTTCGCAATCTTGACACTCTCCAATTGCGGCGTGTTTACCGTGCCCACTGTACATCCATGCAGGTGAAAGACGCTGGACTTCCTCATCGTCGTGTCGGAATCAACGCATGACTTACTACGTGAGATGATGGTGAAAGTTGTACGGGAACAATACAAACGAAAACCGCGACAGCAGCAAGAACAACAACAGCAACAACTAGCTAACCTTGACGTCCTCCAGAGATTGCATGTAGATGTTCTGCGCCTCACTGAGCTCGCTTCCCAGCTTCTCCCTCTCTTGCTCCAGCCGGAACACGTCTTTCCGCTGCCGCGACACCTATTGTTGCATTTGCGATGCAGTCCGACGGGAGAAGCAAGGTTCACGTAAACGCAATTCATGACAACGCAAAACAATTGGTGTAAATCGTCTCGTGATCGCGGTGCAGAGGGTGGGTGGCCAGAGAAAGAGCTAGGGGGGGAGGGGGGCAGATGGGCCAGCGTTGTTTGTACCGCATGCGGGCTTTCCCCGCTGCTTATGGACGGTACCTGGACGTCCAAAGCGGCGTGGAGAACGGCAATGTCTCTTTTCTGGGAGTTGGGACAGAGTTGTAAATCGCATCGTCCATGGCGTATGAGGGCTTATTCCGCGTTGGTGTTTCTCGCTGTTGGCACAACTATTTTTCCGGCTTTGCGCTGGCATGCTGTGCCTCTTGCTTTCGACAACAAGTTCTGAGTCGTTTCTGCTCAGACACCGATTGCGTCTGCTAACCCTGTTTCTGGTATTCTCAGGGATGAGGAAATCAACTCGAAAGAAGACCACACGTTGGTGGTCTACAGCCACGCACGTACCTCGTTCTTGTAGGAGGTGAGCTCTGCCTCTAGCGAAGAGATGATCATCTCCCTCTCCTTGACCAGATCCTCCGTGATCTTCATGCGATCTTCCGCCTTCTGCGTAGCCTACTCGCCATCGTTTCAGAGTCAGAGAGAAACGGTGAAGCCGGTACAGAGAGAGGGCGACAGAGCGGGAGAGACGGAGAGACAACAGATAGAGGTACAGAGACCGGGGTATAGCGAACGGGGGCGCGGGGGGGGAGGGTGACTCGAGGACATACGGCCGTCCGCCTCAAGTGTTGATATCTCATCCACGTCTTCCACGCTACTGCTATTCTTCACCGCAACCGTTGGTCACTCTCTCGTCCGTGGGACCCCAAAGAACATTACGCTGGGTATTCAGCAGCCAACACCCCACACCGCTCTGCCAACGATGAACCCTGCCCAACGGGCAGTTATTGCCCAAAGCTGCTCTTGCAAAGCGCGGATTTGTCGTTGTAGGCGTCGTCATGCACACCTGCAACTGCAGCCCCTTCTCCCTGGACGACGTGTCCGCCTCTTTCCGCGCCAACTCCTCTCGCTTCCGCAGCACGCTCATTTCTTTTTCCAGGCTCTGGATGCTCGTCTGTGGCCGCCGGCAAAGTAGAAACGTCGGGCCGTGAGAGAAGCAGTCCTTGTGTGTTTATCATCCACAATTCGAAGAAGATCGATCATCACAACGGTCGAAAGTGCTAGTTTATCCTTCTTGCTAACGCTGCGTCTTCCTTGAAATGTCGCTGATCGTACCGTTGGTCTGGAGATCGAGGAGGCGGAGGAGGTGGTGCATGTCCTTACGTTGGTGGTGGTGCGGAATACCATGGTACGAAAAAACGAAGATCGCAGCACCCTCTCCGAGATCAACACCCAACAAGGCGCTGAGCAGTCGTGGCAGGTTTCACCTTCATGATTGCAGATGATAGCAATTTTCACACTGGTCCTAGACCAGTGTGCGGCAAAAGCGTCACTGGTCTATCCCCTTTTCCGCCTTTTGCTCATCTCTCAAAGTTTTTTCTGATGCATCTATCACGTGATACGTGATAAAAACCTCAACAAGCAAACAATTGACTTTGGTGATGATTCCTATGATGCAGGCCGGAAAACCGGTTACGTTTGGAAACGAATCCAAGGGAATAAAGTTACTCGGCCTGCATAGGATGTCACCAACAAGAACGCGCGGGGGGGAGCTGGCGGGCAACCACCGCTCCAACTAGTTGTTGAGGTGTGCACCCGCGACGAACCAGAAGATGACGAGGGGGGCAGGGTTAGGGGGGGGTGCTTGAACAAGTTGCATTCCGCGGAGCACTATCGCGTCTGCCGCCCCCGACAAGCGACACCAACAACGTCCACCCACTCTACGTTTGTTCCGTGCTTTGGGGGGTGGTAGGGTCGTCGGGGGAATCAGGTGACGTCGACGTTCACCTGCGCGATGGCGAGCGGGGTTTTGCTCTCCTCGAGCATCCTCCGGTACCTCTCGGTGACGTTCTTCTCTCTTTCCATCTTGCGCTCCCACTGGCCCAGCTCGGTGAGATGTCGCGCGATCTCGTTGTCCTGGCCAGGGGGGCGGGGGCGAATCAGGGAGTCGTATCACGACCTTGGTGTGGATTCCTTCCTTCGAGATTCCCGGTCCAGTCTCTCAGAAAAAGTCGAAATGAACAGTGGACCAAAGTGCCCGGTGGTTGTTGCTCGACACTCGACAGCGGTCTAGATTGCGGGGAGGAGCTTGGTCAGCTGTCGAGACCTGATGAAGGTGAGCGTGAGGATGAACGCTTGCCATCCCGTGGGAAAACAAAACCTGGCGGCCCGCGCTGGGAGCTAGTCGCCTCCTTAGAAAAGTTCTTACCTTCGTCTTTATTTCCTTGTCGGCGTTGATGTTCTCCAGGCTAAGCTGGCTGTTTTTGTACATCTGCAGGGGGGGGGGGGGGGGGAGAAGAGAGCGAAGACCACGCCATCGACAACTCGCCGGAGATAAGAGGCTGGAATCTGAGCAGGGCCGCGTGGGCCCCATAGAAACCACGAGACGACTCTACGGCGGAGCGTTAAAAAAAAAAGACTTCTCCTCTCCCCGTTGGCCGGTTTCCGCTCAGATTGGTTGAGCAGAGCGCATCAAGCCGGTTGTTCGGCCCGGCAGAATTGGTCCGCAAACCACCCCCCGCACCAAGAGCGCCCCACTCTTTGCGCACGAACGACAACTACAGGTCTTCTCCTACCTCTCGCCGACCTGGACTACCGTACACGGGGCAGAATCCAGTGGAACCCCAACTAGCCCGCCACAAGACGGCGACCCGCGTGGCTGCACTCCAGCACAGCTGGAAGCAACAACCCAAAAGAGTGCTGATCAACAAATAAACCAGCCCCGTGTGGTCCTCTACGGGGTACTGCCTCGCGACTGGGTTGGGGTGAGTGATACAGCAGTACCTGATCCTCCAGGTCTTCGGTGAGCTTTTGCGTGCGGTTGAAGAGCGTGTCGTAGTCTCGCAAGTACTTTTCCATCGTGGCTCGAGCCTCGCTGAGCTGCTTGTCGAGAGTCTGGCCGGATCCCTGGGCGGTGGCCAGCTCCGCGCTCATCTCCGGAGGTAGGCGTTGCAGGATTCGTGGCCACGACAAGGGGGGGGGGGGAGGGCGTTGGTGGGCGAAATAAATCACGACAGAGATCTACAGGAAACCATCTATCAGCACAGGGGGCGAGCGGCTGATGCTTCCACGGTTTTGAGGTCTGTATCAGCAATGCCATGCAATTGCACTTGAATGAGCGCTTCCGGTAGAGCCGCCGGTCGCTGTCGGTCGACTGTGTGGTCTACTTCGTCCACGGATATTGCCCCGGGCCATTGCGGTGCGCCTAACCGTCTATCTGTAAACGGCATCTATCTATCTGTACACTCTAGAAATGCCAAGCACCCCCTTTTTTTTCCTGGAATAGTTCAACTGGACTGTTTCAGTGATCTAAGCATCGTGATATGTCCCAGGTCTCGTGGTTTGTCCTCCTCTCTACCAAACGATTTACACGGCACTACACTATTATTTTGGCGCTGAACTGCAATGCGCATACGCAGGATATACCAGTGATGTATCTTGCATGTACCTGTTCGTGCTCGGCAGTTTTGAGGTCCAGCTTCGAGCGCACATCGCGCAGCTCTTTGTCCGTCCTCTGCCTCCGGCGCTGCTCTCGCGAGATCTCGTTGTCCTGGGGTGAAAGGTGGACGCCAAGAGCAACAGTGAGCCGCACAGTGTGTTCTACCAGTTTGGTGCCGCTCAACTCCGCGTCTCGTTTTGTCATGTTACGTAGAGATGTACATGTAGGGTAAGAACTTCTCTGCCGTCGTCAGACCTTGCTATTGATGATGTCTCGAGCTTCATGCAGCAAGGCATCCTTGGCACCGACGTCCGCCGACAGCGACTGTGTCTGGTTGCTCAACTCGTTCAGCTGTGTCTCGTAAATCTGTGTTGTCGTGGGAGGAGGGGCATCGCGTGTGTACAATGCCAACTTGCGACGGAAACATGGAGAATCACGAGTTCAAACGACCTCGGTGATTGGCTTCAGTTGCTCCGCATGAAACTCACGAACGTAGGTTACAACATACCGGTAGTTGTGTGCATGACGAACTGCGCAGCTGCCCACATTTATGACGAAGTCCGTGAAGCGATTCTCAGTCAGCGAGATATTGAGGTCGTGATAGGGGACTCGCTCGTTTTCTTGGTAAAACCCGTGGTTGGTCAGTACTACATGCAGATTCCCCCCACCGCTATTGTTTGGCCTTGTTCGTCGGTCTTCCGGGTGAGGTCGTCCCTGACCCTGATGAGCTCCTTCACCATGTTTTCCTGCCCAACGCTCAGGCCCGCACCCTTCTCCACGAGTTTGCTCAGGTTTGAGATTTCCTCCTTCAGCTGGTTGATTGTGTCCTTTGCTCGAACTGGCAAGCGGGAATTAACGTTGGCGATCTTGGCGTTAGCGTTAGTTCTGAGAGGGCATTCGAGATACCATATGATTTATGTATGCTGCAGGTCACCACCCTCTCTGAACGGGGTAGCATGCATGTAAAACGCAAGTAGGGGTGTTTGGGAGCGGCAGTACTGTATCGTGTTTGGGTGCGGCAGCTTCCTCATAGATAGGCCGAACGAGAGAAAGAGGGCTAACTCAAGACCTTCACGTAGAATAACAAGCGACAAGACATGCGGGATGCAAGACGATCCCCGCGCGGCATGTCCATCAATGTATACCCCCCGGAGGCCCCGTAGACAGTACTCTGCCGAGCACAAACCCCCAAAAGGGGCGTGTCCTGGAGGACGAAAAGGTGTTGTTGGGAGACAACTCCACCTTCTTTTTCGTGAGCGACGTCCACCATAGTCCAGGCTTTCTCTATTTCTTTCCGGAGAGACCCGATGGTGGCCTGGTCCTCCTGCGAGAGCTTGAGGGCTGTCTGAACCTTTGCTGCGTTGTTGACGATCTCCCCATTTAGCTCGCGACATTTCTTGATGAGCCGCTTCTCTTGCTCGTGCGACTTCTTGAGCGCTCGATGGAGTTTTTCGTACTCTAGCCTTCGGTCCACCGGAGAGGGAAACGAGAAGTATGACATCATCATCCGACACGCACTTCCTACCAGTTTCAAGGCTTCTCTCTGCTACAGTGTGGGCTCGCAGTTGAGAAAAATATCGCTGAGAAAAAATAAAGACTCATCTGTCCCCACGAAAAACATGAACATTGGGTGAAGAAACACAGCTCAGCCGAGGATCTTACCCAAAACTTACACAAAGAATATTGCTGGTGCTCGACGGTGGTGGCGAACTGAAACTAGAAACTGAAACGTAATTTATCTCCGGGTCCCTACTGTACACACTCAATCACGATCGTATTGCTGTAACAACTTGAAAACCATGGCGCGCGCAATTGGCCTTGCACCGCTGTATACGGTCAATGCACAGAGTGACGACGACCTGCTGCTGCATGTTTCGCCAGTCCAAGTACACCTCCGACAAAAATCTTTCCACGACCATTCCTTCACAATCCACGACACCAGCCTGGATATGGGGGGGTGAATCGCCCCCCCCCGTCCCGAAATATATCTCCCGTATGATCACCTGAAGCGCTCGAGGCTCTTGTCCCCTACTAACTCTGAGAGCACTTCCTGGAAGTCGCGCTCGAGCGCCTCAAACGCGGACGAGTTGAAGTCAACTTCCATCTCGCCGCCTTTCTTGCCGCCACCGACTTGGCCTCCATCGATGGTACCGCCATCCTGCATGGCACGCAGAAGATTTTTCCTCTAGAGGTGCAAGGAGTGGTCTCAGGAGCAGAGGAGGTAATGCCTTCTTTGTGAGTTGCGTCCAGGCAAGAGGTTGCGTCGTTGTGTCCATAGACCGAAAGAAGAACGACGGTTACTACAATAATGTTCCGAGATTTTGAAAAAAAAAAAAACAGCCCCGGCTCGACTTCTGCCACACCACGTAGGAAAGAGGAATTCTTCCACCACTGGCTGATACCACCAACACTTGTATCTCCCGGCGTCTAGCGACATGGCCTATCACAAACAAGGAACCACCAACACAAGATGGGGTGGCAGGCGCCAGAAAGTGCGTCTGTCGAAATGCGGACAGTTTATTGACGGTTCACCGCAGAGTGAACCTATCGCAGATCGGACGAGTCATGCGTCATGCGTCATGCGCGCATGATGGAGGAGCAGGACGCGCAACACGCAGCTACTGCTGTAGCTCTGACAACTGCACACATAATCGATTGATGGAACGTATGCATATTTGTCTGTAAATTGCCGCTATGGGCGACTCGTCAAGATCTACTGCCTGTATGCAGTACATACAAGTCTATTCTGCCGTGCCTCCCGTACGTCGCGCGAAGATGGAGCTGGGAGAGTCCCACCTCAAGCTGACAGCCTCCGATAATCGGCCCTTGATCACGCCATGGAGTGGCAAGAGTCATGGAGAAGATCGGCACCAATATTATAGACCGCCAGCATACGTTCGAGAAGACGGAGCTAGCGATCACAACTACGACCCACAAGACACGAGCCTGTTCATAGACAGACAGACAGACGTGGCCACCGTAACGTAGCCTCAAGACGTGCTTCCGATCCTACGTGCTCTCCCTGACAAGGAACACTCGCCGGATTCAAGTGGCAATGTTGAGAGTGCCCACGAGAAAGAGGAGGCTAGATGTCAGGGTGAAGGGCTGCGCGAAGATGTCTTGATGCGACCGGCATTCTGGATATCGACCCTGGTGACGAGATCCACCTACAGCAGTGGGGGGGCCGGTATAGCGACCCCTGGTCTGGTGTCACGACGAAATAAATGTGTCCGCTAATAAGGGCAGGTCGCAAAACCGAACTACTGAAACAATTATTATAGCAAACAGTTATACTGTACCGGGTTGCGGTGGTGCAACGTGATTTTGTGGCCGCTGTACAGGGCATGTTTCTCTACAGGGGTCGCAAAACCGAGAACCCCACTCACTGTAGACTTGTGTAAATCTCCGATTTGGCCCTTCCCTGTTACATAAATAGCAAATTGGCAGAGCTAGCTGGAGGTAGGTGTGGACTGGCTGAAAAGAGACCATCACCGGACAGGCCCCAGCACGCATACACCACCTCTATGAAGGCAGTGTTGTATGGACCACCTCTATGAAGGCAGTGTTGTATGGACGGCTGCGGCATGTTTGCATCGTTATGCTGTGGTTGGAAAACAAGCGGTACCAGGTACTCGAAGCGGACGGGTTGGAGGAATGTATATCGGGTGCTGCTGATGACGCGTTGCGTTGCGATGTGGTACCCCGGAACCTATCAGCGGCAGGAGGGAAGGAAGGGAAGATTCTCCAAGAAGGAGATAGAGGACGGGGGATGTGGGGGTAGTAGCGATCGGAGAGGGGTGTTCGTTGGAACAGCGTACCAAAGACTCGATTCGCGTTGTGTGGTCGGAGCGATCGGACAAACAAGTCGTGGACGCAGGCATGTGCGAAAAAAGTGAGAGATAAATCGCACGTCTGTTGTCCTGCGGTGCAATCATTCGCACTTTTGCGGTATACATGCATATCGTTTCTGTGTCTACTCGCATGGTGTGCGTGGCTCAACACGTTTGTCTACTTTCGTTGTTTGGTTTCGCCCTCTCCACTTATTATAGTCTGGGGGGCAAAAACAAAACCCGACGGATAGAACACTTCCTTCCTCGGCTTCGTAGGGGTGCAAGGATAGCTCCCTGGGCTTCTTGAGTGGCCCAGCTTCTGAGCGAGTAACTGAGCTCTACAAAGTAGGGTTGGGGGGGGTCCCTTTGCCCTATGTTGCGTCTAGTATTTTCGTCGCTTAGTAAACTCTCCGCCACACCTGAGTTGCGGCACCTTTCGCCACTGCTCCTTCGAACACACAACAAGAACACACCCCCTCTCCAGAACACAAGAAACAACACCATTCAAAAACAAATTTATATGAAATATGTAACGTTTATGTTGTATCAACCACTTCACGTATGACCTCCGCTTGTCGCGTATAGAACCTTAAAACATATAAAATACGCAGCAGCAGCGAGTGGCGCACGCGCAAGAAGGACAACTAAAAAACTCAAACAGGCACAATGCCTTCCACCTTTTTTGTGTTCACTGGTAATGCAAAAAACAAGGGATTGCTGCGATTACTATTTAACAACGCGACAAACGGGACACCGGTCCAACCTACACTACGAAAGATACGAAGCGGATCCATCCGTCACAGTTAAACCACCCGCGAAAAAAAAACACCACTCAAACTTGCTTTGGATATTTGGATACTGCCACCCCAACAACGGACCAACACAATCACAGGCGTGTCAATGGCAGACGCGAGGCCGGGGGCAGGGGGGGGGTATGAGCTTTTTTTGCTCTCCGCAGGCCGGCAGAGTCTAACAATATGAAAAAAAAAACGTCACGCAAACAAGAGAGCCAAGACAAAATACAGAAAAATATCACATGCAAAGCGGCAGCACGGATATCTGTGACATCAAACGCTTTGGGACAGCACGCACACTCTTTCGCACACAGGAATTAGTTGGTTGCGTGCGAATCTTGTCTCGTCTGTACGCGCTACGCCAGCTTGTAGACTAGGCAACGATTGTCCGTATTTTTGCTCACCGCTTTCCTCATGACAAAAACCGTCCTCACTATACGCACCGTGATGCCAACAACACCACCTAAACACATAATAACCAGAAGCTCTTAAACAGGACCAGCGCGGTTGCCTCAGGTAAGTTACGTCGCCAGTATACAAAAAATTCACGCTCAAGGTGGCAGCATTATCCCCTACATTCACCGCTCTCTTTTTCTCCTCTGTCAAACGCGAGAGGGATCTACAACAGTTCTCCTTTCTACTCATCTAGCCTCCCACGAAACGCACGGGCTGAATACGTACTCGGCGAGACACACAAAAAAACTGGAACGGTTGTAGCGGGTTCGCGAAACCAAAACACCGTGGGGCCCGCCTGCCTGGGTCTAGCAACCGTAAACCTCGACCTCGGAAACCTTGAACTTGTTCCCGACGTCGTTCCCCAGGCCAACGATGTACAAAACGTTGACACCCGTCTCCTCGATGGTGAAAGTCTGGAACGTGGACACAGCTTCGACCACCTGCCCCGTCAGAACGCTTGTCCACTCCTTATTTGCCGCGGCCCTCTTGTACAAGTCCATGTGGTAGCTGGCCAGGTGCCCATCAAAGAAGGCAATCTTGACGTACGACACGTTCTGGTCCCCCTGGAAGTGCAGCCTGATCTTAGCGTTTTCCATGGGGTTCTCGTTCTGGGTGTTTGCGGACGCCCACCAGGTGTGGAAGTTGAGGTCGAAGATCGACCTGACGTTGTTGGAATCGCTGCTGTCGGTGACGTGGGCGTTCTGCACGGCCAGCTTCACGGGCTCGACGCACACCGAGTCGCCCTCGAGCTGCGCGAGCTTCTTCTTGGCCGCTCTAATTCCCGAAAACAGGGCGTTGGACTCCACTTCCTCCCCGCAGACCTCGAACTCGTTGAAGGCAGACCAACTGCGTGTCGATATCGAAGGGAGGCATCGGGGGGGGGGGGGGTTGAGGCCAAGACAGGGGGAATGAGAGAAGGGGACCAGTACACAAAAGTTGTTCTGAGCTAACGGGGGATTTCGGGGGGTGCATTTGGTGTATGGAAGGACTCCGGCCGGCTGCTGACGTACGGGGCGCTAAGATTGATTGCCTACAATACTAGGAGAAAAGAACTAGATTGTTCAGGGAGCACAAAATCACAGAAGGTATATTGTTGCGGTGAGCATGCGGCCAACAGGCTTAAAGCTCTTGTTTTCGCCCTCAACCATCTCTAAAACAAATGGAGCCAACCAAGCAAACACCTGCCCCGCCGCCAAGACAAGCCAAAATCGAATTAATGTCTCCTCTTTTCTTCTTTTCTTTCCCACGCAGCACACGCACGAGAGAACAACAACCTTCCACAACAATAAACTTGTTGTCAACGCCCCGAAAAATCCAAGGCTCTTTTTTTTTTTATGTTTGTTTCAGCACGGCACGGAGGAGGAAGAAGCGAAAGCCTTACTTGTTGAACGTGTTGCCGTTGGTCGTGAGCTTGATGTACTTGGTAGTCGTGCCAGTGAACGTGAAGTGCTGGTGGACGTCCTTCTCGCCGGACGACGTCCTGTCGGAGATGACGGTCGTGTACTCGGTGTCGTCGGCGGCGCGCACGGAGACGCTGAAGGTCTGGACCCGGTCCTCGGAGGGGTCCTTCATGAAGAAGGAGATGGAGATGCCGTCGACCTCCTGCTCCACCTCGAGCTCCATGATCATGCTCGTGCTCTCGCGGTTGATGGAGAAGTACGTGTCGATATCCCCGTCGAAGAGGTTGCTCGGGCTCGTCGAGGGGTCGATGTTGTCCACGTGCTCGACCTTCACCTTCCCGATGGACGCCACCACCCCGCACTCTCCCTCGCCGGACGTGCCGGCCATGGAGTTGGTGCCGATCTCGAAGATCTTCTCCTCCTCGGCGGTGGCCGCGCGCACGCCGGGCAGGCAGTTCACGCCGGCGCAGAGGATCCCGACCTCTGTGTCGTCCGCGAAACCTCTTACCGTTTTTGCGTCGTCGTCGTCATCGTCAGCCTCGTCGTCATCGTCATCATCTCCGTCATCTCCGTCATCTCCACCGTCGTCGCCGGCTCCCGAAGAGGAGGAGGTGGTGGTGGCGCCGACAACCTGGTCGTCCCAGTCATCCGGGAGCTCGCTGGAGGAGAAGTTTTCGATGTCACCGGGCGTGCTGCCGTCGGGGCAGTCGGCAATCGCCGCTTCGGAGTCGAAGTTTTTTTTGTAGTCGCCCACGAACTGAAGCCCGACACATACGACACGACGCAGCAGAGTCGGTGCGCGGGGTGGGGGTTCGAGATTAGACAGGAGACCGGAGCGAAGCAGAGCGACTAAATACATACACCGCCGTTACACAGCAGCAGCGGCCGAGTCGCTTCCGAACGTGGACAACTTCTGGCCGAACATAGCAGGGTCTCAAGGCTGGCATTTCCGAACACTGGGTGTAACAAAAACGAACATCCGCTGCTGCATCATCGAGCGGCGTTGTGTGCCATCTTACCACACCACGACAATCAGGGAACGTACCGTGCGTTGTAGCCAGCCACCGCTATTCAAATGCTATGCCTTCTAGCGAGGAAGACAAACAACGTTGGGGGGAGGGGGGCAGGCGTTGACTCACTGCATAATCGATGTCGCTGTGCTTGTTCTTGCAGATCTGTCCCTGGGGGTACGCCATGACGTTGTAGGCCCCGTACGCCGCGTCGTTAATCTCGTTGCCGTACGCGTTGTTGTCCACCCCGTAATCCGCGTCACCGCCGAACCGGAAGCCGGCCCCCACGCAGTGGCTGATCTTGTTCCAGCGGAAGGTGTTCGCCGAGCCACGGGAGCCGAAACACCCCGAGTTGGCGTCATGCTGTTGCTCACAGATGTTGTACTCGACGAGGTTCTCCCTGCTCCCCTCCTTGATGTCGACGCACTCGTTGCCGTACGTGCGGAAGGTGTTGTGGTGGATCCAGTTGTGCTTCGTCACGTCTGCGTCGATGTTGTCGGCCGAAACGGTCCTGAGCTTGGGCTCTGGGGTCTGTGTGCCGATCGCGGGGTTTGGGGTGTAGATAGCGGCGGCGGGGGTAAGAACAGCATACGGTCAGCGAGGAGGAATCAAAGCAGGGCAGGAGCAGCGAAGAGGGCGGCGGTGCTGGTGCTCGCTGCAGACGGGGGGTGTAGGGAGGGCCTCTTGTTCTGTCGGGTACTTCGATTTATATGAACGACTGGCATTGTGTTGAATTGAGCGACCACCCCCCAATCCAGCGCAAAATTCATCCCCATGTGGTGCAAAGTACAGAACATTTGGCACGGCCTTTTGAAAACGATGCAACAACACTAACTAGAACCGCACGATACAAGAAGCTGTTGGGAGAAACACGGCGGTCGTCGGCTTTGAACGCGGATACACTGTTGAGCAGCAAACGGTCAAAAACAAATATATGTGGTGAGGCTTCCTGACGATAACCGGTGGCTGGAAGGGTCAAGCCGTTCCCGATTGAATCCCTCTGCAAAAGCACCCTCATGGCGGGTACATAACTAGGCCCGCCCAGCTACAGGCGCGCCAGCTAAGGAATGAACTGCCTCCACATAAGCTGGGAGTGAGTTAACCGTGCCCTCAGTCTAAACGATGATTCCTTGCGTCAAGGAAGCGGGGTCGACTAAATACTGCTGTACCCCACAAGATACGGGCATGTAAGATACTGCTGATGATGGGAAAAGGTGACTAGCTTTCAATGGGGTGATGCAGAAACGGTTTTCCGTGTTGAGCTTTGACACGGGTCGGCGGCAGACTATTGACCTTCACGCACCCTTCGGGAAAAAATATGAAGACACGCGTACGCTTGCATCGATACTCACGGAAAAAGTAAAGCAGGATTGATTATGAAACGATTGGTAGACCAGACACAGAAACAAGAGCACATGCCATGTAAACCCGTCATACATCACCCCCGCCCCCCCTTTGTCGGGATGCGAGGTCAATGGTCTAACGACTACGGCATGCAGGGCTATGAGTACCCCCCCCCCACCCCACCCCCCTCTCCTCTCCTCCCCTCGAAAAGAACAAATGTGCATAGCCACATGCCATGCCATGGGTGGGTTTGTCGTAGATCTCGGCTCACCTTGTTGTCGTCGACCTGGTCCAGAGCAGTGCCGATGTAGATACCTTCGCCCACCTTCCCCCCTCCTCCTTCCTCAAACGAATGCTTGCCGCAGTGCTGGACGGTGCATCCGCTAACCTCGGTCTGGGTCACGAAGTACCGGAAGTGAATGCACTCTTCGTCGAAGTTCTTGATCTCCAGGTCGAACAGCTGAGTCCCGGTGACGGAAGCCTTCTCTCCGTTGCTGTCCTTTTTCCTGGCCTTGTCTGCCCCCAGGATGTAGATCGCGCTCGACACGTACTCGTCGTCGTCTTCGTGGTAGCCGTCGAAGCAGATGTCCTTGACCGTGTAGTAGTCGTGGGCGATCTGAAACAAGCGGTCCTGGGTGTTGGAGCCCTTGAGGCACGCGTCCGAATCTCCGGTGAGGGTGATGCGGTTTTTCTCCGTCCCGTGCACTTGGGTCATGCCGTCAAACTTGTGGTCGCCGGAAAGGAAGTAACAGGTGTCTCCGGGCTGAACCATCTTGAGGCAAGTTTCCTCGTAGTCATCGCCTGGGGAAATCTCATAGGTTGTCGCCGTTGCGGGAGCAATCACCTGCGGTTGGGGGGGGGAGGGGGGGGCGAGAACAGGAGACAGGGAGGGTACACGGGGCTTACGTGAGCGACAAGTCATGGGGCATGTATGTGCAGTTTGGGCACAAACAAGTTGCCTCCTCGAAAAGAGTGGTTCTAGCCTCTCTTCCCCGCTCTACAAGGCAATTAATTTGCCGTTGGTTACAGGCGAACGCAGTTTGAGGCTATTACCCTATGTAGGCACTACCGTACTACAGCAGTACAACAGAAAACAAAAATTGGAGCAAAGAGGATAGACTAGTACGGGCGACTCTGTCGATACCACGGGATATTATGCATAATGCGAATGAAAACTCAGAGCATTCCACGGAGGACGGAAAGTAGAGATGGTATAGTTATTGCTGTGTCTACGGAAGGCCGTTCATATCGTTTACAAATCCGGCAGAGAGCTCCCTGGCATAGCTCGCTTGATTCATTGTTTTCGAATCCCGCTGGCGAGTGTTCGGTCGGGGCAATGTGGGCTTTCTATTCGTTGTTTTCACAGAACGTTTGTGCCTGTTTTCTCTGTGAGGCTCACACGTCGTCCTCTCGCTGTTGTTTTGTTTTCTCCTGCGGTGGAGCTAGCTAGTTGTGTAGGTTCTTCGCGAGTGAGTGCTGGAATGCATATACATACTTTACGTGTGTGTGTCCTTTTTCGTCTTGTGCTCCCCTCTCTCTGCTTGGAATCAATCTACGCACGCACGTGTACGTACGACCGTTGTTTGGGCCACCTTGTGGCCACGGACAATGGTTTCTGTAGTAGACTAGGCAACAAGAGAGAGGTACTACTGTACTGGATATATGTTCTGCTTGAGAGGTACTGCTACTACTGTAGGTTCAGAACGGTTCCAACAACAACAGAAACACACAACGTTAGTATTCTCACAACGTTTTTGGTGTTGGTTAGCCAATACCAGGTACAAGCTGGTTCACGCAAGAAAAACAAAATTTATTCCCCACAAATCCTTCGTTCGTTTTTTTGGAGATAGGTCACCCAATTTTGCACACTTGTCCGCAAGATCGATACCTAACTTTTCACGCGTGTTTTTTTTTTTTTCTTAATATGACACAACGAAACCATCTCTATCATAGAAAAGAGTCTGAGACAGATTAGACAGAGTTTTTTCGATTTTTTTCTTATTCACCGAATAATCGGGGTCCCGCACGTTCCTGGCACAGAAAGGCTGCGCTGGACCCTGAATATTCGGTGAATAAGAAAAAAATCTAAAAAAGAAAAATCCCGTTCGTAAAAAGTTTGGCATCGATATTTATTGCGGACAAGTGTGCAAAATTTGGTGACCTATCTCCAAAAAACCGAACGAAGGATTTGCTTGTTGTAACAAGAACCTGAAATTTCCTCTGTGAACCCCTCATTTACTTGGATTTAGACTAAAATGAGCTGTTTGGGCACAACTTTACGCTTGAATCGACCGCTCTACCTCAGTTTCGCTCCTTGGGCAACGAAACTTTGTACAATCCTTGCACACCCTACACCGGAGCCGACCGCATTCGATTTTTTTTATTTGAGGCTTACTTACCGCCTTACGGGGGTCCTATCCGTTGGACCCCAATAAGCCGGTAGGAGCGCGAAAACTTCGTGATTAGTGTTCAAGAATATTGTTTAAGATTCATAGCATCAATACCTGTCAAGCTGCCAAAGTTGGGGACGATCTAAGCTTTTCCTCAGATATGTACGACGGAAACCGTTTCGATGCTGTCTGAGCGGTTGCTTCGTACATCCGGTGTCTATCTGACGACGCCAAAGGGCCATAACACCGGAAATCCCACCTTTTTGGGCGTAACTCGCTCCAACGGTGGCCGTTTTCACTTTTGTTTTTTTCGTTGGGTTCCCTAGAGCTCGAAGGTCACTTAGGGGTTGAACTACGGCCGGCCGAAGAAGGTTCGTGTTGTATTGGGTGGTATTTTGAGTTTTTAATTCTCGAACAGCTTGAAGGCCGCTGATTGGCCAGACACATAATAAGTGCGCCTAACCACCGTAGAAAGGTGTTTTCGGAAATTCCAGCTACTATCTATGTCAGTCACCGTCTTCGGCTAAGCGTGGGGGTCACTATATATAGGTATAAAAAGTGTGTTGATTGGTGAGTAATTGCGTTAATTATCCGGGGGAACACATTTAGTTTGGGTTTCTTGCGTGAACCGGCTTGCTTGTAATAAAGGCGTGGATGCGGGGACCGATTCGTGGGTCGCAGACCAGAACGAAAGAACCACAGTTAGTTGCTGGTCCACGTAGTAAGTCAAGAAAAAAACCCTCCTCATCATTACAAAGCGGTTGAAGAGATCTATCTATCTATTTGGTTGGGTCGGTATACCTTTCTCTCTATCCGACGTTTGTTCGCGAATCGTCGGATGGGTGTGTAAGAAATACAGTATAGATAGGGCAGGCGCGTTAGACTCACTCGCTGGTCCACGTTGTAAGTCAAGAAAAAACCCCTCCTCATCATTACAAAGCGGTTGAAGAGATCTATCTTCCGTTGGTACTCTATCTATTTGGTTGGGTCGGTATACCTTTCTCTCTATCCGACGTTTGTTTGTTCGCGAATCGTCGGATGGGTGTGTAAGAAATACAGTAGTATAGATAGGGCAGGCGCGTTAGACTCACTCGCCTCCGCTCTCTATATATTGTGAGGGACGACCACAAACTGAAGACACCTAAAGCCATGAACAACACACGATGGATGATGATACGACTGACTAACTGACTGCTGTGGCCTTCGTATGTATGTATGAACTCCGGAATATTTATTTTCCCCGAGTGAGTGAAGATGATGATCTGTTATTATTTTATTTGCTGCTGATGATGATGATGATGACGCGATGCTACAAAGATTACAGTATACTGACAGCTGCTGCTGCAGTGCTGCTGCTGTGGTGCTATACATAGCGGGCCGCTCGGTATTGCTTTCATTCTCTGTCTATAGATGATACGTAGACTATTCGCAAGGCGCGTATGTATGTATGTATTCTATTCTATAGATATTCTATAGATAGATACGTAGACTGTGACTACAGTATTTGCAAGGCGCGTATTGTTTGTCGACATGGAAAACGGTCGACTCCATTTCGCAAAAAGATATTTATTATATTGATACTACTGCTGCTGCTGCTGTTGTTATGAAAGCCGACGGTAGAGACAGGTGGTTGTTGTGCCTCCTCGCCTTCTCTCTCACTCTGTCTGTCCTCCCTCATTCTGCCGCGCGCGCGCCGGTTCTTTTTTATTGTTAAAAACGCAACGAAAAAAAAACGCTTTTTTTCACGGAACGAACGGTGAAAAGAAGATTGCGAAGGTGTACCGATTCTGGTAAAAGTCAATCGACGGATACCCTGCGAATCGGGTCCTCCTTAACACTCTCCACCCACAGAATTTACCCTCAACTGGGAACCTCTTGTGGCCAGGACGGGTAATTCGATGGAAGTGTCACAAGGTTCTTTATAGGATCGATTCCAAGAAGAGGTGTTCTCAGGACTGACACACATGGTGTCCATGGGAAAATGTCCAAGTCAGGAGAAAAAACGTGCACCCAAGGAGATTCGAACCAGTATCCAGCTGACGCCATATGCGAAGGTGTACCGATTCTGGTAAAAGTCAATCGACGGATACCCTGCGAATCGGGTCCTCCTTAACAAGATCCGATTAATTATTATTTATTTAGAGACATGGAGGCTCGTTTATTTTCAGTGGGTAGGGGACGCGCTTTTCCGTGAAGTTTCTTGTAAACTTCCCAAAATATAGCTCGGTGCACCTACAAACAAACCTGGGTGTTCTGTCTTACTTGTGTAGGTCAAATACTCCTCCTATAGGAAACTTTTGAAATCGGAATATATATAATATATGATGAGATGAGTAAATAACGAATAAAAAGTGAAATTAGCGCTAATTTAGCCAACGCATACACTCTAAAATTAATCAATGCGAAGAAACGTGGTGGATGAAAGTTGCAACATACTAAACGCATATCAACGGCTGTTCGCCAACAACGCGAGTGAGTGAGTGAGTGCGGCAGGGCCCGCCACGCACTGCGCAGCAGGCGAAGAGAAAGAACAAACTCCACACGTTTGGTTTGTGCCTGAGGAATCTCGTATTCTGTGTGTGAGGATGGATGGATGGATTTTCAAAGGTGGGACGTCTGTCTGTCGTTATGCACGTACGTACGTACATGGAGGACGTCACACAAAGTATAGTTATTACGGGAAGAGGTCACTAAATTTTCAAAGCGAGGAGGGTTGGTTCTTCTTCTGGTGGTGGTGCCAAGATACGATGGACAGACCAATATCCACCACTCACTCACCGTGGATCAAGTGGTGGTGCATCGGACCACTATATATACAACTAACAGTTATTTATTATAGTTGTATGGAGCCGTTGACTGCAAGGTGAGGGTTGTTGGTGGTCGGTCGTCCGGCGGCGGCTCTCGTCTCTCGTATCTTTTCAGGCTCTTACCTTCTTTCCGTCTCTCAAGGTTGCCCACCACGCGGATTTCACCAAAAAAAGAAGTGTAAACGATTCGCATAAATCAAATAATAAACAGATGGACAACACAAAAGACTGTTACCCGCAGGGGAGATGTCCCTATATGCTGTCTGGGAAATCGTAGACATACAGGTACTTTTCTGACGCTATGAATCCATTGCTAATCTGTCTCAGACTCTTTTCTATGATGGAGATAGTTTCGTGGTGTCATTTTAAGAAAAAAAAAAAAAGGCAGGAGGAAAGGAAATGTGCGCCGTTCTGTGTGTTCGCATGTATGTTGTGTATCTTGTAGACCACCATCTAGCTAGCCAGCTAGGCGAATGGTTGATTCAGCAGGCGTTCGGGGCCGTAATAAACAAACAACGTGGTTGGAAAAAGACTGACTGACTGAACTGCGAGACGCAACAACAACCAAATGATGACTGGAGTTGGAGGACACTACGACGCGGAAAACTGATCTGAATTTCCTTCTCTGCTGGAGACCGGCGTTAGTCTGCGCAAAAGAAGACTCACCAAGCCTGAAAAAAGCACCGCCGCCGCCGCCGTCCGGATGGACCTCATCATGGTGCGTACTGCCGTCACCACGGAAAACGGGAGCTCGTCCTCGCGTAGAAGATGATGAGGTTGATATCTTCCGCTTGCGCCAAAGGGGGGAAGGTCGCTGCCCGGTGTGTGGTGCGTGACAACCGGGGAAGGAGACGGAAGAGCTATGGGTGTGTGTGATGGGGAGGAGGGGGGGAGGTAATCCCTAAATATCCATCCGGTGGAGAGAGAGGGGCGGAGAGGGGGATGTCGAAAAAAAAAAAAGAGCGGTGATGCCACGCCCCGACGTTCTCTCTCTGTGCTCTCTCTCCTTCCCTCGCTTGCTGTCTGTCTTCTCGGGGAGCAGCAAGAAGGACACCTCACACACACAAGCTACTATGCTGTGTGTGTACTGTGTCGTAGTGACCAACGGGCGGGCGGGGTGAACAGAGAGCGAGCGAGAGGATACTTTGAACTTGTGAACCTTTCAGATCGGAAAAAATATTCTTCTTGTATGTACGTCAGGCACCGGCTGCCAGCCAAGTCTGTTTCGTTTTTTTTGTTTTGTTTACCCGCAGGATCGAGGACTAAATAAAACACTTGCTGCTATACTTTGACAAAGTAACATTTAGTCACTCAGGACCACAAGGCCGCAGATGTATGTACGCGCATGGGTTTCAATAGACCTGGTCTACACCACACCACAACGCAGGACTGACTGCTGTGTATCACCTCGGGGTTCGTGATGTATGTGCTGACAGCGAACCCACCAATTTTGCGTGTTATCTGCTGAAACGCGGTGGTGTTCACATACAACGGACACCTCCATTGATAGTCTATTTGTGGATGAATATATGTATGCACGTTGGTGAGATCGATATATCAATGTGCAGTTGACATGGATGGGCGTGTGACTTTAGGTACTCCGGAGTGTACCCTGGAATATAGGCAGGAGGAGCTCTGATCCAATCTACTGCTGTCGGTGGGACAAGTGAATTGATTCGATGGACGTCATCTCCCCCCCCGTCGAACCTGTGTCTATGCACCGATTCGCATGTTCAACGCACAGCACATGTTTGTAACCATGTTTGTAACCACACCTTTCTTCAACAACACGAAGAAAGTGCGTGGAAAGTAAAGCTGGATATGCGCACGTATCAACACCAAACACGACAGAAAAACAGCCCCCCAAAACTATCCTACATCACCCTACACTTGTCAAGGGCTCTTGTACGCGGGGGTATTTTGACTTGAAAGACGGATGGAATGTAGTACACTGACTGGAGTAGTTTTAGCTTTGGACTGGAGACGGGCAGACTTGCGTGTTTTTCTGTGCGCCCTTTTTCACAGCGGTTGGATCCCCTGTCCCAAGGGGAATTTCGACACGGAATCACTTGCCGCACTCCATTGGGAAACCGCTGTTGGCTTTTGTTCCGTGAGAAAACCTAGAGCAACCAATGGTCTACACACACACATGTTCGCCCACATTTTCGTCACACAATCCAATGTACAGCCGCCAAGACAGACACCCCACCGGGGATTCTTGGACAGCATCAATCGTTTGGTCGGTTGATTCTCGCAGGAAAAACCAAACAAGCAGCAGTAGATTATTCCTTTTGAGTTGAGCTCCGGAGGTCACAGTTTTACCGATGTTTTTCTGGACAAGATTCTCTTGTGGGAAAGCTGCGGCTGGACGTTGGGCTCCTCAACCGCCGTGGTTCCTACTTCACGACAACCACCACCAAACCGCAGACCGTACAGCTTTGGTCGCCGTGCGTGTTAGACCCTCTGTGTGTTGACTCCGCTGACTTATTCCGCGACCCATCAGTTGCGCCGCCGAACCTCCCCCCCCCGCCGAACTTTGTGGTGTGCAGGGACTCGAGCAAGCGCAAGGCTTGCTGACGCATCCAAATCTACCGCAACTTACGCAGCGCACAATCGCTTTCGCTACCCCAGTCTGGTATCTATTGCTTGACGTATTAAGGAAGTGGTCCCATGGTCAGGCAAGAAACAAACAACGTCAGGGGATCGCCCGCATGTCTACTTACGAGCACACCTGCCTCCCCCCGGCAAAAACATACGCGGGGCCCCAAACCAGTCGAGGTGAGAGCACCACGCTGGTAGAGACAGCAGTAAGTAGTCTACGACACGCTGCTGTGAATCGGTTCGAGCATTGGCCCATCGGTGTGCGTGTGTGGATTCGACAATCACGCGTGACGCACGGAAACCAAACGTGTCTTGTCCTGTCAGCCGATCACACCTCCTGCATGCAGACCATATCACCCTCGGACGAACCGTCCGGGGGACAAGGCCCCGCGCCCCCCTCCACCCAACCACCCTCCCGAAAACAACACCAGACAACGGAATCCAAACACAGCCGGCCACCAACTCCGCTCGAAAAACCACAACGCTTGGCACGCTCACGACGAGCTGCAGTCGAGCAAACAGCAGGACGCACGTACAACCACCATCACCCGCCGCCACCTCACCGAGAACAATCAAACCCCGTCCTGCCGCAGCAGGCCATCTAATGTCAAGGAAGGGCGCTCCCAAGTGTAGCGGCCACAAAAGGAAGACTATCGAGCGCCCCCGTCTAGTCCGAATCCGAGTCACTCGAGCTGTCGCTGCTCGACCCGCTACTAGAGGACGACCCACTCGAGGACGACGAACTCGAGGAGGAAGAGGAGGAGGAGGAGGAGGAGGAGGAGGAAGAAGAGGAAGAGGAGGAGGAATCGGACGAAGACCCGTCGTCCGCCTCGGCCGCCGCCAGCTGTAAACGCCATCGCGCGGAGGTAGGGGAGGGACAGGGGACGCAGGAGACGGAGGGTGAACGACAACACACGAGCCAACAATGAACACCATACCAGGTGTGCACCTGCGGGGCGTAGAGCAAGTGTCTTCGGTACCAGACATATGTGCTGGCGTACCCGGCTGTGCACAAGCACACACAGCAGTGACGCTGCCTTTGTGAAAGCAAAAATAAAAAACGACCAGCAAAGGCTCCTCCTACAAACTGCCAAGTAGCTGGCGAGGACGCATACCTGCGCTTCCATGATCATCTTCGGTGCGTTCTTGAGGTGCAGGCGCAGGCCATCCGTCAGGCCACCAAGTCCGATGGCAGTGAAGAAGTTGATGGCGAAGCGGGTGTTGCGGGGGTTGTCGGTCGGGAACATCCCCTGGAACACCTCCGCCATGTAAGGGTCGTTGTAGCGCTCGCGGAGGTTCTTCAGCCCCATGTTTTCGGAAAGCTCCTGCGTGTAACGTAACAAGGGTGGGCGCAGAAAAGGGAAGGGGGGGCGGGGGGGGGGGCGACAGACAGGATAGACAGATGGTTGGGCGAAAAAAAGCGGTTTGAGTGACGAAATCGACGGCCGAATGGTACTAGAGACTACAACCGATCCTGCATGCAGCGCGCAGAAGGCTTAACTGCGGGTGTCAGCGAGATCTTGACCGGTCAAAACAGCAACGCAGGCGTTGCGCCGTCAATGCATGCAGGGCACTTGCGCCGGGACAGCAGTTGACGAAAGCGGCCAATGGTAAAAAAAACAAAACAAGCGACCGCCGCAAAGCACTCCACACAAACAGCATAAACCGGCCGGTAAAATCGCCCCGCGCCGTCCCAGAACCAAACGCAGAGAAAAGAGAAAAAAATACATGACACTGGCACAAACAGCAGTCAAAACACACAAAAGAAACCACTCGATGATGTCACTTGACACTCGCACAAACAATCCTTGTCGCAGCGCACCAGCACGAGGATCTTGATGAAGATTCGGCTAGAAGACGTCGTGGCGTCCTCGCTGAGGCGGATGGACTCCAGACACGTCCACGGCAGGGCGTCCGTGTACAGCAGGTGGGCGAAAAACTTGGCCACGTTGCGCAGCTTGTTGGTCTCCAGCCTGCGAGACAAGTGTTTTTTTTCGAGGGGGGGGGGGGTGATTAGCAAGTGTCCCCGCCGCCGCGCGGGAACGGAAACGGGAGGGGTGGTAGGCGTGGGAAACGAGGGGAGCAAAGGCGAAACCGTCGGACATAATAAGGCGCATCTTTTTTGACACAGAGCAGCATCGAGCGAACTGCGACGGAAGGTGTACGTGGAAGTGTGCGTGCTTTAGCCATCCGCTCTACATCGCGGTGGACGTAAACGTCAACAAGGACGGGGTTCAGCAGGAGGGGGAACCACACAGCGGACGCCTTGGAACGAAAAAAGGAAGGTGTCCGAAAAACGGCACGTAGGCAGCAGCACAATCGACAATAGGTTTGAGCCAAAACCTCGTGCATATCACGCAAGGGTGAAGCTTCGGGTAAAATTTGTCGGCGCCTATGGAGAAGCCCAACCTTACACGTTCGACGCCGCGAACGGTTGTCCTACACCAGGGGGTAGGAAACGTTTGATTCTACTCACCGGTGGATGGTGTTGTAGTTGGTCTCGAAGCACTCGGTGAAGGCGGCCTGCCAGCGGCGGTGCATCATGCAAAACCGCTGCCCGATCAGGCCGTAAAACGAGCGCCAGGTCCGCTCCTGGCTGCAGCACTCGATCATCATGTTGCACAGTTCCTTGTGCGCGTAGACGGAAAAAAATAAATAAAAACGCGCGGGAAGAGCTGAGCGGGGATAACGTATTCGACAGAGAATCGGAAAACGATCGATGGCGTGGTGGTTGTTAATGCGTTTACACCCTTCGCTGTCAGGACTTCAAAAAAAAAAGTCGTCGGGTTGACACGAAACGATGTGGTCGCGCGAAACGTTTCGTGCTTCTTCCCAGAATTTTCAAGGCTCCATCGACCGAGGGCGTACAGGTGTATCAAAAACGCTTTACAGCAGAATACCACGGAATTCGGGCAAGAACTAGCCACAACACAAACGGACCGTGCCATGTAGAATAGATGCTTCACGGAGTTTGATGCGGGGATCAGAACACATGAAGCAGGACTCACAAAACAAACGCTAACGCTACGATACGCACACACGACACCGGGACGGGGCATATGCTCACTGGCCTGCCGTCTAGCGCGTCCGAAAAGCAAAAAAAATAAGGGGGAATTGACAAAATGGAGGTATACCCGGCGTGCTTAGGCACAAAATGGGGTATACTTTTTTTTTTCGGTATGGGGCGCAACGTCTGTCGCCGGGTGGGCGCCTTTAAACCGCCTAGTTTTTGGGTGTGGGACACACGGGGACGCTCGCAGCCTTCAGACTTCACGCACACGCTCGGAGGTGTATTGTATTTTATTTTCGGGATTTTTGGTCCCCCGCTCAGACGCGTGTCATTCTCCATTGTCCATGCTTGTCGAAGAACAAACACAGCAGTCACAACACACACAAAAAAAAAAACAGCGTTTTATCAACACGCACTGCTGTGAAGATTTCAACACATCCCTTCACAGCTTGGGTTTTGTCTCGAACGGGTACACTTTTGTATTCCTTTCTGTCATTTGTTACGTCGTATGTTTTCTAAACAGTCATTGACACTATTTAGCCGCGTGATGTTATACACATAAACTCAAAGTCATTGACACTATGTAGTCGCGAGCCGCCGGACTTGCCGACAGAGCCGCCACAAGTTTTGACCCACTCTTCCCCCCCCCCCCCCCGCCCGAAACGCGGCGGCAACGAATCACCTGTATACCTATGCCACTTACGACAACACAACGTTCGCCTCTCACCATCTCGTAGCCCTCCTGGATATCAAGCTTGGTGAGCTTGTGAGCGCACTCCTCGAATCCTGCGCTCGACATGATGGTCAGGTATATCGTTCGGCGGAGGTTGACCAGGTCCTGCTCCGTCAAATCCTGGATCTGATTTTTCGGTTGCGTCCAGGGGTGGGGGGTGGGAGGAGTCCCTACAAGTTATTTGACCATCGGCCACCCCGCCCTCTCAGTAGCTAAATCTCCTACGCCTCTAGGTCTCAAAAAAGACTTCGCCCACACTCGGGGGCACTTCTACGCTCTCTCTCTTCTGACATACATACCGTAGGTTGCATACGTAAGGTACCACACCCTTGAACCGATGTTCATAGCTTGATTCCTCCACGACGAAGAGGAGGAAAAAAATCAAACGACACGTTGTCCGAAAGCTCTCTACGATAACGAAGGTTCCCACGCCCTTGCCACGTTCGGCACCGCCGCTCTGTTCGCTGTGGAACAATAGAGCTTTGAAAATATGTCCAGAGGGTATGGTATCTCATGCCACCTACGGTTTTCATTGCTTATCTCCCCCTTTCCATTCTGGCGTTTCCGTGTTGAGTGGAAGGGGGGCGTACCGAGGGCATGCTGGTGGCGAAAAAACGAAGCAGCTCGTCGTAACAAAAACGAATGGAAAGGTGCAAGGGGGTGATGGCCGAAGCAGGCAGAGGAACGCATCCGAACAGAGCGGCGTCAACACAACAAAAAAACTCGCGCTACCGTAGAGCCCTAAAAGGTCACCCCACCTCCTGAGTCATCTGCGGCTGACCCTGTCCCGAGGCGGCGGCGGAAGCATCGTCATCGTCGCTGTCCTCGTCACCATCATCGTCGTCGTCATCAGAGTCATCAGAGTCAGACTCGCCCAAGATTTCCCCCTTGATCTTCGCCCACATGTCCTCGTTCTCCTCGTACCTGTCACGACAAGCAAGCCGGAACGTGTGTTACGTGCGTGTGTATGTCTTGATGTGTGTTGCTTAGTTGGCACCACCAATCGGCTGACCAATCAAAAGACGTCAGCCTCTAGGCTTGTGTGTGAGCCCCGCAACATGCGATGCCAGTACTCTCTACCATGGATGCGTACCAGGCGCACAAGGTAGTATTGGTTGAATTAGTTGTAGCACTGCTGTACTTCGGGAGACATTGCACACACACAAACGGGGATATGTTGACACCAGCCGCCGCTATCTTCACTCCTCTCCGACAGAATCAACATACAACCACCATCATCCCGCAAACACAACAAACATGACAGCAGCAGCAGCAGCAGCAGGAGAAGACCCAGTGCTTAAGGCCCAAACACGGCGATAGCCGCAACAACAACAATAACAACAACAACAACACACCAACAACGGCGACGCCTCTCCCCCCCGCTCTCAACTCACTTCTCATCCATGCGGAAGATGTCGAGCATCTCCTCCTTCTCCAGCTTGTCCTCGAGCCCAATCTCGAACGTGATCTGGTCGTCCCGCTCCACCAGGTCCAGCTCGGGAGGCACCGCAGGGTGGTCCGAGAACCCGCTCTTGCGGATCGCGAACAGGGTCTCGATCGTGTACTGAACCCGCTTGTCGATCTGCCCCTCGTGGAGAATGCCGCGAAAGCGCTCGAACACCGCGTGGAGGCCCTGCGGCGAGAGCTCCTGCAGCACCTGCAGGAACACGCGCACGAAAAACACGGCACACGCGTGCACAAGGGCGCGGCACGGGGCAAAGAAGCGTTACAACATTGTGTTTCCTCGGTCCCGGGATCGGCGCGGGTTTTTACCGTGAAGGCATCGAGTCAAGGCCAGGCAGTTTCTCAAGGCGGCCAAAACACAAAAAGCAACAAGGAACAAGAACAAGAGCAAGAACAACATCGCACGACATAATGGTGCTGATGTGACCATGGTCTTCCGTTGCGTGACAGCTAATATATCATATACCTGTCCAATCTCCTTGGTAAAGTTGACGGCGATCTCGACCGAGTCGTCCGTGGGCTCTTCGAGGAGCACCGTCAGCAGCTGAAGAGCCAGCAGTTCGTGCGCGACCTGAAAATTTCGCGCAGAGACAAACAGGAAGAACGCCGCGCGTGGATGCGCGTGCGGCTGCGGATCAGAACAAGCTTGGTCGCCTCGAAGACACTTGCGAAAACCGACAAGTAGCCAATCTTGGACAACACTCTGCCTGCTTCAACGCAACAGTCAAAATGACACGCATTTCAACCAAACTGCCGTAGTTGGCGTAATTCATCACCCGTTTTTCTGTGGGAACATGGCCACGGGACGCCCCAGAATCTGTCAGCAGTTGCTGCCGATGGTATCTACAAACATGTATCAACCAAATATGAAAACTCTGCTGAATCGACCCCCAAAGGCATTGCGTGGGCCCGAGCAGGCGCTGGTCTCCTCACCTGTTGGTTCACCATGTGCGCGATGAACTTGGCCAAGGCAGTGGCCACCACCTTGTCCCTGCGCTTGTACGCGCGGCGGAACGCCACGATAACCCTCTTGAGGATCAGCTCCCCGTTCTCGGGAAGCTTGGTGTTGACCACCGCCACCAGCGCCGCGAAGACGGGGGTGAAGCCCGGTGACGCCAGCTGCGCCTTCATGACCGCGCGAGCGAACAGCCCCCGGCCGCGCACGAGGTTGAGCTGGAAGAGCTCAGGCGCGATCATCTTGATGTTGGTCGTGTTTACCTGCAACGTAAGAGAGAGGCCGCCGGGGGCTGAGTGTGCAGAAGCGTTCGTAGAGAGGATGACGAGCGCAAGATAGGTTTGAGCACGGTGGTGTGGTCGGGTGCCCCCCAGTTGGATGGGGAACGCCGCACGCCCGCTTGGTCGAAGAAAACGAAGGAACTTCGATTCTTGCCGCTTCCCGATGAGTTCCGCCGCGCCCGAGGTTGGTTTAGATTGTAGCGCTACGGTATTATAGTAGACACAACGTTTGATCACAGCAACCTACTCCCTTGACTCACTACGAGAATCGCCAGCGTCAAAAGTCGTGCACACTCGCTCCACCATTTTCTCCATCACTGCTGTGCCTCCACTTTCTGGGTCTCTTGTCTTCCAACCGGGCGCAAAAGGTGAGCATGAACGCGGCATCGGCCACCAGATCTCACACAGGCGATGCAAAAACCTGTATCATAGCTCCAGCATTGCCCTTGCTACAACCTTAACACCACAACGCACATACCGCACACAATAGTACGCGGCAAGTCTTATCTTTTGCCTGAACAGGGCCGATCACCCAACACCAGCCGAGAGGAGAGTAAGCAGAGATAGCATACGAGAAAACCAACAACACACCAGCTACTGGTGGTGTTGACACGTCTGCCATCGGTCGTAGACTACACCACCACCCCCTGCTGTCCCACTTATAACGAGGTAAGCAAGGGTCAAGCGCCATCTGGTGAGCGAGCGGCACAGCAGTGGGCGCAGCAGTCACAGACTCGCCTTGTTGATGAGACCGTTGATGCTCTTGCGCAACGCCTCCCAGGCGATCCTCTGGTACTCCTTGGTCGCCTTGCCCATCGTCTCGGCGTCCTTCTGCATCTGCGCGAGCTTGAAAGGCGGGATGTACACCCCGCCCGTCCTACCCGTCACCGTGGCCGGCTGATCTACCAAGACGTTGACCTTAGGTTCGGCCGCTGGCTTGGCAACGGCAGCAGGTGTCCCCGCCCCCCCCCCCCGGCCGTCGCCGCCCCTGGACCGCTCCTTGTCGCCCTTCCCGGAGTCTTTGCCCCGACCCCGTTCCCGCGAGCTCTTCCTTGCCTCTGCCCTTTGTCCGTTCTCCCTCCCCGTCCCGCGCTCCCTGCTGTTGCTCCTGCTCCTGCTCCTGCTGCGCCGCCGCCGCTTGGAGTCGCGCCGCGTCTTCCCGCCGTCGTCACTGCTGCTGCCCCTGCTGCTGCGAGGACGGGTTTTGCTTCCTTTTTCGGATCGATGGTCCTCCCTCTTGCGGCCCTTGGGTCCTGCTCCCTTTGAGCCTTCGCCATCCTCCCTCGATCTCTTCCCCGCTGCTGCTGCTGAGGAGGAGGAGCGGTTGTCCGAGGTTGCCTTGCGGCCGGCCCGAGAGGAACCCTCATCCGAAGACGAACTGGAGCCAGAGGAAGACGATGAGGAGGAGGAGGAGGAAGAAGAAGAGGAGGAGGAAGAGGAGGAGGACGATGACGCCGATCTTCCACGTTTCCTCCTGCTCTCAGACATGCTTCACCCGGGAATACACAGCAGCAGGGCGTTTTCTACACTCTGCGGTTGTTGGGGAAGCAAACGACCGCCCCTGCCCGCTTGCTGGGGTTGTTGATGACACCAGAGAGAAAAGAATTATGGTGTCTGCATGCAACCCGACCAAGATCGCGCAGGTTAATCCTTCCTGGCTTGAGTGTCCGTTCTTCCCGCTTCCTTTGCTGAGGTGAGTGCTCGCTGCTCAGTCGCTCCCTGGCACAGGCAGAGCTGCTGCTGGGTTGCTTGGTGCGCCACCTTGCCCGAGGGGCTCAGTGCATTGGATCCCTGGTATCTTCCCGGCCGAATCTACATTTTGCGGAGCCCCGTCTCCGGGGGGCACATGCGTTTGTGCCGCTGCACGACGACGCCGTGCTGGTCGGTACATTGTACTCCACGCTCTGCACGTGCCGTGAACCGGCAGAGCTAGGGCGCGCCTGGGGCCACCCTCAAGCATGGCAAGGCGGTATGTCCTGCTCATTTTCGTGCTGGAGGGTATCTGCAGAAGTACAGCATCAGACAGCGCATTTGTGAGTTACGAAATCCTGACCAAGACGCCGGTAACAACGTAGAATGTCGAACGTAGATCTATCTATCCACGGTGTAGCCGTGCTGCAACTTGTTTTCATGTGCGGAGATGCCTCTCCCTGATAAGCGCCCGAGCACTCGTCCAGCATCATCATCATGCCGACTACATTCGCATGCATCAGGTCCCGCTGCTTGTTGATGCGTCAAGTTGAAACACATGCACAACACTCCCCTTTTGCACAGGTAATGTCCAAGCTTTCAAGCAGACGACAGCAGTGGGCATGGGCAGCAGGGACGACACAGCGGGGGCGGAGAGACTCCGCGTGCAGCATGCGTGCCGGCAGCGGTGAAGGAGGAGGGGGCGAGGTCGTGAACAAGGCGGTTGTGGCGGGGTTGTTGGGCTTGCAGTTGCTGTCGCTGCCCCTTGGCGTTGTCTCCAGACAACCTCGAGGCGCGGCCCTGCCGCGGCTAGACGTACTCTCGGCTGCTGCGGAGGTGACGGCGCCGCAAGCGACGGAGGAAGAGAAGTTCGGTAAGCTCTCTATCCAGTAGTGTGCAAGCACTGCGCAGCCACTGCCCAAGCACCTGTAATAATCTGGCCCAAAAAATCGTTCTTCCGGTCGTGAAGAGAGTTTACGAAACCAAAAGAGCTGGGTGCGCATGTTTCGTGAATCGGCGGCGCGTGCCTTGGGCCTTTTTCGTCCGGTAAGAACTTACATCAATCTGCTGTAGCCGCGGACAGGACATGAGATTCGTCTGCTGCAGAGCATTCAAAGTTGTGGAGCCTACCAAGGTGGTGAACATGTTATTCTGATGGTCGCGCTATAGAGTAGATCACTCTTGCCCTCCTAATTGTCATGTACTACTGCTGTACTGCTGTAGCCAGCTACTAGGGGCCCGGGAACATGAAAAATGTGAAAATTTCGGGTCGAGGTTCAATTTAGTCGCATACAGATTATAAATATTGTAGCGTCTAGTGTGTAATTCCTCGGAGTGGTGTTTCTTAAGGCTACCCCCGTTTCCTCGCAACAACGAAAAAGGGAGATGCACACGTGGAGAACGGCGGCGACGCCTCAACGAAACCACAAGATCCGGCACTTCGGCGCAAGTTAGGGCCGCTGCAAATCGCAACAATTCCTCTATTAATAGAGTTACAATCAGGCTGTCTTCTACTGCTGTGAAGGCATGTGACGCTACTCACACACCGCATCGATTCTCCCTGGCAATTTGGAGCAATGGTCGCTTGTTGTGAGCTGTGGCTTTCCGCAAACTGGAGCCTACAGCAGTAGTTTACTGCGCTTGTTAACCAAAATCTCAACGCGGAGATGGTGTTGAAAATCGTAATTTTCACGCACCTCAATCTCGCGCTACTGCTGATGAGGCGCACAGCAGTAATTTGACTCGACGGGGTTGCTCAAGCTCGTATGACTTCATGACACAAAGATGCAGAGGCTCGTGTCTCCCAAGGCTCAACAGTAGCGAGGCAAGGGAGGATTGTTGTCTTATCTGCAAGCCCTTGCTGCTGCTGTACGTCGGGTGTTTCGTGTCCGGGTGGCCGCCAGTCGAAATCGAGCTCGAGAAGTTCGAGCGCAAGACTCAGGTGGAGGGAAACCTGAAGAAGCAATCTACGGCTAAACGAGGTGAGAGGTGGCATCCAACGGCGTGTGCGCCGATACGAGTATCGCGACTGCTGCGCCGACGACGAAGCTACGCGCTCTATAATGTCCCGTCGTCTCATTTGTTCGTTGTGTGGCCCAGTGAGATGCGTTCGAGTGTGCCGTAAGGATGCGAGAGAACGCACGGGGGTGTTACGCGTTTTTCACAAGAATGGTTTCTCCATAACCAGTTGTTCATAGAGTAGTTTCTCGACAACCAGGAGGGTGCCCCTGCCGAAAAAGTGGTTTTGGAGATATCTCGTCGAGGGCGTTCCTGAGAGGTATCGGTTGGTGTCGCACCCTCCTGGTTGTGGAGCAATCAAGCTTTGAAAAACGCCAACACGCCATTGCGTTCTCTCGCATCCTTTCGGTAGGTACACTATATGCATAAACGTAGCATCTTGTTTCGGAACTGACGACTAGCCGGCTGGTCGAGGAGGAAGCACTCCGCCAGGGAAGATGGGAGTTTGCCTGTAGGTTGGGTGGAGAACGAGAGCGGCACCGTCGTTGCATGCATCATGGTAGCTGTGGTGGTCTTCTTCGCACCGGTTATGGTCTCAAACTATTGGTTGATGCATATATTAGCTCGGCCGTCCTTTCGAAATTTCGAGGGACAAAAGCAGCCGCACACCCCAACTGCCACCAGGACTGCTGCAGAACCGCTACTGCTGTTGCGCCGTAAAAGCAGCAAGAGGAAACGAACAAGACAATTGAATGCCTCACTATGTAATATCTGGCCGCTTGTGTACGGCGAACGGATGCTGCAGTCCCCTTGCCGGACGAGCTACAGACGCCCAAGAAAGGGAAACAGTCTCCTCGAGTTAAGCTGGTGCCGGTGTCTGACGAGAAGCTGGCCAAGTCTGTGGAGACTATCCAAGGGCTAGCTCCTTACTTGGGTAGGTGTATGCCGGCTACTGCTGTACACCGTCGTCGCCCGCCTTTGCTGTGTAGCATTACGATGGCTGTACATATGCATATCGCCAATGGTGACGGTGCTGTCGTTATTTGGTTGTTTGGTGTTGCTGTTGTTTCTCGCCGCATCGGCTTATCGATAGATTGTCTTGACCGCGGTGGCAAGAAAAGCGCTGGAGGCATGTGAAATAGATGCAGAAACAGAAACTGCTGTATGCCTCAACTGCACCGGGTGTGTATGTGGTGCTTGCCTGCCGCGCTTCAAGACATGTACCACCTGCTGTCTGTGGGGCCGTACCCTGTGTGGGGTATTCTAGCGGTGACGTCCCTTCTTGCCCGGCGGCAATGCTGCCGTAGAGCCGAGGTTCTTGTCGGTTCCTGACGTCCGCCGGAGAATCGTGTCCCATTCATGTAGGGTTGCAACACCTCGACAATCATGCAGATTGTCACATGAGGTCGCTGAGGTTCGAGTAGCAACGTGAGCAATGCCGTTTTGTAATGCGAATCGACTCAGGTACATGTTTTGCCTAACACACCGGCTTTGAGCGATTTCCCGAGCCGAACCGACTGCAGCAGTTTGTGGGACACACCTGTGTGTGCGCGCCGGCCCGTGCCGTGCGTTAGAACCCCCCCTCACTTCAAACCAACCGATGAAGACCCTTACTAAAGACGTGCTGCTGCCGCGTACATTCGCTACGCCCTATCGCCGCCGCCCATGTTTTCAGACGAGGTCGAGTATCTCATCACCTCGCGGAGCTGGGACTACCTGAAGGGATTCCTCGGGGTGTTTGCGACGTGCGAAGGGGATTTCGTGGCCCTCATCGACGGGATGTACCCGACCGACAAGCCGGTGGACGTGAGCTCCCGGGACTCGATGCAGCTGGAGGCGCAGAACGTTTTCCTGGCCGTCGATGACTTGTACCAGGTTTGGCAATGAGTTATGGGGGATGCTCCAGTTGGTGGCTTGTTTCGAGGGCCGGAAAGCGGAACGTGTGTTGTTTTGTTTTTGCTGTCGCGGCTTCTTACCGGGCGAGAAGCCGATACACCACTGCAGTAGCGCCATGCTGAGCGTGCCCGTCTACTGCTGTTGGTCTTGCCACGCTCTACACAACATATGGCGCGCGGAAAACGGTTTAATCGAGAGGGAGGTGTTCGGTCTCTTTGTGGCACGTATGTTCCCATCGTTCTAGGACCCTCACGTAACTGGGGGCGGGGCTTGTGTGCGGATCAAAGCTATTGGTATTCGGGTCCTGTTTTTTTATGTTTTTGTGGTACGCGCCAGATTGTACCACGGACTGGCACCTTCTCGCTTTGCCTCGCTTTGCCAAGTAGGGGGAGTGTTAGTGTTCGGAACAACATCTCGCAACACGAAAATGGCACCACACTTCTTGTACGCCTGTTGAAATCTCGGTAGTGGTTACGATATAGGAGAGTGCGTGACAACCGAATTTTAGTTACAGGCTTTCTTTTCAACCCGTGCTATGAAGTACCCCGTTTTTCTCGTGACAGGGACACACACGCCACTATTTACTCTCTTGTATCCGCACGAACTCATGTGTAGAGTGTCTTACGTCGTAGCCGCCACTACTGTAAAGGGCACGCTACTTGGGTGCCCCTCCGCAATACGTGGAAGGATTGCTGATCTGTATAGTCACCGAGTGGGTTTGTTTCCCCAGATCCGACCGATAAGTGATGGCGGACCGGGTCTTACTCTGGTATTTGACACTCCTCGTTAAGTTGAGTTTCTCCAGGTTGTCGCGTTGGGTAGCGCTTCCTTGAAACCGGGGTTCAACGAGAAAGAGACAGACAAGCAGGCAGGGGCAGAGAAAGAGAGGGCGAGAGAGACTGAGACAGAGCACGGGGGAGAACGGAACGCGGAACATTGCGAGCAGATGGTTACAGTTTCGGAGAGAGGCAGGCACAGCAAGACAAACTGCTGTGTGAGTCAATCAATGCAGGTTCTGCATCTTGCTCTGGGGGTATCTAACAAGCATCAGCTTGGTGCTGGAGAGCGTGCTCTAACGTCCCCCGACACTTGTGCTGGCATTCGCCGCGCACCAGGCATCGATGGCGAAGAAGGTCAAGGGGTCGGAAAAGGCGTACGTCAAGCTGGCCTTGAGCTACGACAGGTTCTTGAAGGCGGGAAACATTGTTCCAGCGTGAGTCGCGAAATAATGCGCCGCCCCTTTGTAAGCATACAATCAGCTCCCGCGCTCAAGAACCTCTTGTTCTGAGGTCCTTAGTTTCTAGCGTTACGCTACAAATGGCCGCTATATAGGTATAGGTTGTGGTGTAGGGATTCTTAACAAAGTTCGCTAATGGTGCTCAAGTTACTTAGATTTGAGCTTTTCGAGGCTATACATATCAATTTCTTCACGGCCAAGTTCTCAAGTGCGGGGGCCTGTTGTATGCGTACAGCAGGAGCGCGTTTTGGCGGCCCAGGCCTTGAAAAAAGTCATGGGTTCCGACGTTGGCGTGTTCATGTGTTCATGCCTCCGAACAGGAAACTTAACGGGAGAGGTCATTTGTTTTGTGAACCTGCCGCTTCCTTCGCAAACACGGGTGGGTGCAGACCCTTTTCCTGAGCCTGGGAGAACCATGGCCGCGAACCTCCTATTGCTCCGTTGACCCACTGCGGTCCCTTGTTGTGCCTCTTCGCGGTCGGTGGTTCCGCCGCATCGCAGGTACGACCCGGTGTCTAACACGGAGAAGTTCTTCATGGACATCCCCGACGAAATGCTCCGCTACGAACGAGACTCGAAGGTCCCGCTGGCGGTCCGAGATGCGGTGAGATTTGGTGTCACGAATTGGGCAACCACGCATCGTGCCGACAATTGATTACTCCTTTTTCGTGCTCTATTCATATCAAACGAGTGGACTCTCTTTGTTTTCGGCCCTTCGGTGAGGACAACCACGTATCTCGTCTAAATGACATTTTTTATGTTCATGTCCACCAAGAAAAGAGTGGAATCTCTTTTGTTTTTGGCAGGCCCGATTTCGCGGCCGATGCTATCAGAAGCCAACACGCCCGAATCGCGAAGTGTACAACAGTTGGTAGGGGGGGTCTCAATTCCTGGACGTGAGTAACATGTACAGCAGGGTCTTGCCGCGGAGGATAGATTCGGGGTGAAAATGTGACATCACTCTCTTCACGCAAGTGTTGTCTCTTTTATGGTGCAAGTCGTTACACTGCTGCGTGTAACGTGATGATTTCTTTTCGTCTTGACCTTGTGACCGGAAACAGGTACTTATCCTCAAGGGGCCGGATAAGGGGAGAACGGCGATAGTCGTTGGCATCATCAAGAGCCGGAACCAGGCGGTGGTGAGGACGGACGGGACTCTGACAAGAGAGATGCGGATCTTGGAGCTGTCGGATATCGCTCGACAGCTGCCTGACGACCCCAAGATGACGGCGGGAGGCTCGCCGCCCGCGAAGAAATAGGCGACCACGCCCACCCTTCACTTGCAACCACCGGGAGATTGGACCGCTTGTTTGATGGCGAGCGACGACCCAAGACTCACGCCAGCGAAGGAAAAGAGCAGCGAGGCAAGCGAGCTCGGGTGACCCGAGAAATTAAGGAGTCTAACCCCGAACTTGAAGGCTAATATCATTTTCGTGCTCAAGTACACACCGACACGTGAACGGGACCTAAGTAGCCATGGCTGCCTCCGCGCTGCCGCCGCGGGGTGTCATGTCGCCGTAGAGTTAGAACATCTGCTTCATGATACGTGACGGAAGAAGAGTGCGTCCTCCCCGAAGAAGGCAGCGAGCGCTGCAGCCACGGGGGTGCGCTAGAGGTGGACCACCGCGAACAAGCAGTCTCGTCGTTATGGATGAGGGGATGCGTTGGCCCACAGCATCTTAACACAAAGGCTCAAGGTTGATTGGTTGGTCCCACCCACCCGGGACTTGTCTCTCTCTCTCTCTCTCTCTCTCTCTCTCTCTCTCTCTCTCTCTCTCTCTCTCTCTCTCTCTCTCTCTCTCTCTCTCTCTCTCTCTCTCTCTCTCTCTCTCTCTCTCTCGTTGTTTGGTTTCGTTTGTTTCTCGCGCGTTCGTTTGTGGAATGCGCTGTCCGCGACGCACCCTAATTCAGTATTGTCGCTCGCTCGCGCTTGCGTGTCGCAATAGTGTTGGGTTGGAAACACGCGAGGACCCAGTTGCTTTTGTACGATCGCCCCACCCTAGGGGATACGTCGTTTTAGGCCCCCCGTAGCACCGCGACAAACTAAATAGCGATGGGGGGATAGACTATGTACCCCTCCGGTCAAGTTTGATGCTGATTGCCCACGGGGGGGGGGGGGGGGCAGGGAGCCGACTAATAAAAACGCGGGGAATGGATGGGGTGGGTTGTGTTGGGGGGTTGTATTTTTTGGACCGGGGTTGGAAGGGCCTTCCCTCTGGTCGAGTTGTATGTATTGGTTTTCAACCTGCTTGGGGAGAACGGTTGGGGGACTTTGTGTGCTTTGTTTGGGGGGCGCTAGAGCCAGCCCTTTACTCTGTTGGGGGGCTGATGTTGTGGCGGTTTCGAAACTTGCGGGGGGGGGGGGGGGGGGGGGGCAACAGTCCCCCAAAACTTTTCTTGGGAAAAAAAGAGGAAACCCCCCCCGTTTTGCCTTGGGGGCCGAAAAGACACCCCCACCGGCAAAGGGCAAAACCCAAACCCCCCCAAAAAAAAAAAACCCTTCCCCCAAAAAAGAGCCCCACCAACACCTATTTTTTCCTCTTACCCAAAAATACTTTTTCCCCTAAACGCCAAATAACCACCCGGCCCCCCCGTGCCCTCGGACAAAAACCCCCCACCAAAAATATTTTTTACAAAAATCAACACCCCCTGGTTGGGGCCCCACAATTCCCCCAAAAAAAACCACACGAGGCTCCAACGTCCCCCC